TTACTGAATAGCCTCTGGTGATCCAGTCAGAGAAATACCCCTTTCTGGCAGACCAACGCTATCTGTAAATTAATGCGAGACAATATATCAGTATATCACATTTAGAACCTTTTATAGTGGTGTGGTGTAAACTATAAACGACTCACGTATCTCACCATGTGCAATTTGGACCTTGCACCCAGAGTCATGCTGTATTTTGTTGATCTGTTCCCCTCCCCGTCCAATGACTGTTTGGAAGCCCCGAAAAGACTTTTTTAATTGAATTTGAAAAGATGCAACAGAAAAGTGAGTGAAGTATGTGCCTGTACTCACTGAGGCCAACCATGCTATCAGGCACCTTGTACTCCTCTGTCATAGTAGAGGGCCTGACACTGGAGATACAGGACATGAAAACAATGACTTTAAGATGTCCTCAATCTCTAGAGGAAAGATAGAACTGTTGAGAGTTGAAGACAAAGAAAAAAAGGCCTACCTTTGCTGTGACAGGGCAGCTAACTGAGCTCCAATTGCTGGAAGAGAAGGAGGAAAAAAAGTGACTACAGGAAATTAGGAAAGCGAGAAAAGCAAAAACTTTTTTAGAAATCCAGTGAGTGTCTTTAACGTACACATTGCTGAATCTCTTTCACTCTGTGATGCTACTTTTTTGGCATCGGGCTCATCTAAAAAAACAAATATAAAAAAAAAATAAAAACAAAAAAAAAAAAAAAAAGGTGAGTGTATTCCTAACCGGCCAAAGCAAACCAACGCTTTCTTTGTTTTTGATTTCTTACCTCCTTCTTCCAGGGATCGTTTCTGTGCAGTGAAGGGATAATTTTCAGCTCCTCCGTTATTCGTCACTGTGGGCCCAGCCTCTCCGCCGATCTTAGCTGCAATCTAGAGAGCAGAGGGTTTTGGTTTACAGAGATATCAGTAAAATGTACTTTTCAAAGAAAAGGACCAGAAAAATTCAAGCAAAAACTGGTTGTAAAATCAGAAGGAATTGTTGATATGTAGGACTAGACATGGCCTGTTCCTGGTAACAAGCATCTAAACAGCTGAAAGCCACCCATCATACTGTACCTACTGCTGGAAGTGCTTTTATTGAGATGTCCAATAAGTTCCCTGTGAGCATGATGCCGTTTTTGGTCATAAGTAAAGATTTTTTTTTGTGCCAAACAACATTTTGGTGCTATGAAGGTCCCTGCTTTGTTTAAAAAAAGATTCTATAAGGTTTTAAGAGATGGTAGCAAGCCTTGGCTGTTTTCACAGGAAGAAATTGCCTCCGTCCTTAACTCTACTTCTAGATAAAGATTGAAAGACCTACAAAAACAAAGTGCAATAATTAATAGCCACTGCTCGTTCAGTGTTACTTTCTGCCGCTCGAGGCTGAACTTAACCTGCTTTTATATTAACTTACAGAAAGCCCTCCTGTGTTCAGCAGTTTGTAACTATAGCCAATAATATAGCAATGAAAGTCCATCTCACATGTTGCAAACTCAGAATTAAGTAGGGGAATTAAAGGAGAAGTTCGGTTTTTTACACTTTAAGCCCATTTTCTGTAGTGTCCAGGATGAAATCGAATGATCGACACCAAAAGTTTGACAATTGCTCCTGTCTCTGCTTTTTGGCTCATTTAGAATCAACCCCTGGCTGCTTTAGAATGGCTTTCATAGAGCATGTCCGATAATGTCCTTAAAACAACCTTAAACATTCTTTTTTTAAAATATGCTACTCACCGTGTCGTCAGCGCTGTTCAATGACGTTCCAAAAAAAGTTTCGTGAAGAAAAAACGTTCCTGTAGTGTTTTATTTAGCATTTTGTAAATCCCATTGAGTTCTGTAGGAATAGTCAATATTCCCCTGCCACCGGAAACGGAAATGGAGCCTTTTTACACAGTTGTAGTCTTATCGCTTCACTCTGTGTACTCCGACGTCGAGAATCAAGAATCCACCTTTCGTATTCCATTTTCAGAGTTTTTTAAAGTGTTTAACAGAGACGTTAGCACCTCGACGTCGGAGTACACAGAGTGAAGCGATAAGACTACAACTGTGTAAACAGGCCCCATTTCCGTTTCCGGTGGCAGGGGAATATTGACTATTCCTACAGAACTCAATGGGATTTACAAAATGCTAAATAAAACACTACAGGAACGTTTTTTCTTTACGGAACTTTTTTTGAAACGTCATTGAACAGCGCTGACGACCCGGTGAGTAGCATATTTTAAAAAAAGAACGTTTAAAGTTGTTTTAAGGACATTATCGGACATGCTCTATGCAAGCCATTCTAAAGCAGCCAGGGGGTGATTCTAAATGAGCCAAAAAGCAGAGACAGGAGCAATTGTCAAACTTTTGGTGTCGATCATTCGATTTCATCCTGGACACTACAGAAAATGGGCTTAAAGTGTAAAAAACCGAACTTCTCCTTTAAAATTGTACCTAAAAGTATCCTTTTATTTATTTATTATATTTATATATATGTTTGTTATTGCCAAATTTTTTTGTATTAATTACCGTTTTCAAGGCTGCACTTTTAAAAAATTTAATTGTCTAGAGCTGTTTTAAACAAAATTTCTTTTGACAAAATAAATCTAAGTTTAAAAAAACATTTTTCAGAAAAACAGTTTGGACAGAAATATACATATTTGTTATGAAACCAGGGCAATATGTCCTCCTAGTTGATGATTGAAGAAGAAACCGTGATCTGTTATGGAAATCAGCAAACGCACAAAACTAAACTATCAGCCTTTTGGTATGTTGATCTAATCCAAGTGTTTTTCACCCTTCATTTTACAAGTTGGTGCTATAATTAGCCAGATGGAAGGAGGTTGACAGCAGCAGATACTGAAATGACATTGTCAGAAAGAAAATGCTGAAGATCCCAGAATGATAGAAGCACAGAATAAATAAACAGGGATGGAATCTGAGCTGAGAATTATAAACACAAGAAAAATTATTGAAATTATTTTCAATGTCACCATAATGAAACAGGGTTACATTCAGGATTAAGGACTATAGAAATTATTCCTCATGGCCTCAACCTTTTATTACTACTATTTATAAACACGTCAAACAATCTCTCCAGAGTGATTAGTAGGATCTACAAAGTATAATTGGGAAAAGAACAATGATGACATCTTTAAACCAATGATGACATTTTAAATTTATTTGCTTCACAAACATAAGAAACAGCTAAAATAAAGTATTTTAACTCTCATGGTCCAGGTTTTTTTTCTGCAACATTCCCATGATATACGAGAAGATAGTTTGGAAGTCTCCAACCTGTTCCTTCTGTCTTAGATTGTTTTCTCAGAATTTAAATAAAAGTGTCTGATGCGACACGTTTTCGACATGTGTCCATTCAAAGCCTTAAAATGTTTCAGGACAAATCATCCCAAAATTATAATGTTTTGTTAAATACACCCATCTATACATGATCTGTTCTTTTTATTACATATCAGGCTAAAATACAGCATCCGATTGTTAAATGTTTCTTTTTTTAGATCAGGCATTACGTGGAATGCTAAGAGATGTTCACGATGGCTTTATACAGTAATTTAGTTAACTTACCTTAGATTTAAACAAAGTATTGAATAAGATAGTTAAGACCACCATATATGTATAAACTACGGGCTAACTGTATGTTAATGTCTATATTTTTGTAAACTATTAATTAAAAGGGAATAGAGGAAAGACTATCAATGAATGGCAACGAGAAGCTAACGTCAGCTAGGCTAACTGCTAGCTAGTTTCCTCCGCTTCTTATGACTGACCTGTCTGGCTCGTTGTACGGCGTCTGCAAAGGCGTCTTTTTTCACCCCACCGCCAACACCGTTAGAAGACACTCCACCGTAATCCGACATGCTGCTCTGAAGGAACAAACAGCGACAGAACCGGTGAGGCTTTGTCCCGGGTCAAAACTGCGCAGAAGCGGGAAGGTTACCAACGGCGGACGGGGGGCAGGAACCGTAGAGCAGTACGCCGGTAACAGAAAAAAGAAAAAAAAAAGAAAAAAATTCTTTCGACAGATCAACCAATAGCAGCGCTTCCTGTCGCAGACAGTTTTCTTCGGATGTCTTTTAGTTGGTTCAAATTACTGATCCTGTTCCGAACAGTGCCACTTTGTGGCGGAGAATAGGAATTAAATGAAAACAGAAATCAAAAACAACTAAAAAAAAAACAAACATGTAAACTGTGTAAATATTATATAAATCGACAAGAAAATATACAATTAATTTCAAATGTTAGCTTTGGGGCCAAATGTTAAATACATTTCTAATATTTTACAAACTTTACAAAAATTATTTTTGCAATTCCGTCTTTCAATAAAGCTTAAATTATACTGCACCATTTCCCAACACCATCATGTGATGGCTCCTGAGAAAACAAACTGATCCAATTTGAATACAGAAACATAAAGTTCATTTAAATTGACAACTTTTCAACATAAAGCCCGACTCTTCAATCCCTCATACTGAACTTGTATGTGGAGACAGCCGAAATTTGAACAAAAGACTATCACTTCTTTCTTTTGGTTTCCTGCTTCGGCTACGATAGAGTTAACAAAGAACCGTATTAGAAAATGTTTGCATTTAAACTGGAAACTAAATATTTCACAACTTTATAGACAATCACACTAAACAATTATATTTTCTGACTCCAAAAAGAAAAATTATACAGTAAGTATATCTGCTCACCTGCAGTTTTAAGGTGGTCAGAGTCAGATGTAAAACAGCATCAAAGCATGGAGTCATTCTACGTACATTGGCTCAGGCAGTGGTTTGGTTAAAAAGTTGTGTGGAGTATTTTTTTGGTAGGCTTTGGACCCTTGGTACCAACAGAATACTGTTAAACGCAAACCTGAGCAGTCATAAGCTCTATGGGATGACTGTGGATTCACCTTTATGAACCCAAGAAATCATTCATTTAAAAAAAAACAAAAAACTATGACCATGATGAGGGTTTTGGAATTTTTTTGTTTCAACTTTGTCTCCATAGATAACAGTACTCAATAAATAAACATAATACAACAGTTTTATTATATATCTAGGCAATTTTATTTCTAAAACAAATATTGCGTTCAATAACATCCCTGAGACTATATGAAATGTACATAAGGAGAACCAAGAGGAATTTCAAAATTACTATTTTTATTCAGTTATATTTTTTCCCCCCCAGAAACAGTGTTTTAATATCATGCTTATAATTTAAAAAGAAAACAATCAGTAGGAGTTGACCAGAAAAGCAGCACAGTGCGTGCATTTGTTTGCACATACATATTTTTTAAACGGCAATAAATAGAACTTCTTGTTTGTGAAACGAGAAGTTAAACACAAAATTTGTCTTTTAATCCCAGTGATTAGGGAACATTATGTGGCAGTGGCCTAGGCCCAGTCTTTGAATTTACATACTGAACATGTTTTCTGCATAGACAGTTGCAGGGCAGCTCTTCGTAACTCTTAGTGCGTCTTTCCCCGTGTCCAGTCCATAAAGGCAGTTCTGTGTGCGTCTTTTTACCATCGTCTTTTTCCCAGAAGAAGCAATAATGATACTGACTGCTTCCTTTTTTAGGCTCTCACTGTGTTTTGGTAATGTGTGTTTAAGACTCAGCAGCAACCGCCTTCTCCACACCTGCAGGTTCCTTCCACAGCCATCCCTCTTCTCTACATCTCACCTGGTAGAGAAAACAAGGCTGAAGGAATGTAGAGCAGGCCAATTTCCAGAGGTGACTCCTTTTCAGCAAGTACATGCATGTCTCTGCCCATGCAGATCCGTGCAGCAGTGGCAGCCAGATGCCTCTGGTTAGCGTTCAGAAGCAACACATCACTCTAGAACATAGCAGCATCCTGTGCAGATGGAGGCTGTTTATTCATTACTTTATACAGCATCCATTTGTTTTATGTTGAAAAAGCAGGCGATAATGAGCTTTTGATTAATGTCTTCAGCGATTCAAGTCAATCAGCTCCCAGGTGTGGTTTGTAAGCCCAGCAGTGAGTTTTACGTCAATAATTGTGTCCATAATGGAATCATATTTGCACAAAGGTCTTGATAAGCCCATCTGAAAAGTCCTACTGAGTTATGCTCACCCCTCTTCTCCAAAAAAAACTCTGGGGCTTTAAGAGTTCGGCCGGATTTATACTGAGGATAAATCACACACAGGTAGGATCTATTTACTAAGTTCCTCCTAAACTCCTTTGGTTGATGGATTTTATTTTAAGAAAATCAGAGGGAAAACAGCTCCATAAAACTCAGTATACTCCACATTTATGCAGACTTTGTGCTAGTTTATGTAACATTGTCTGTAACATTGGCTACATGTGAACACGTTCTGTGAGTATTTCTGGCAGCATCTGTGTTTGCCCTTTAAGAATAGTTGCTTGCATTTTTCTTTCTAGCTGCTGGTTTAGATATGTTTACTTGGAAGCTGCCTAAAGCTAAAATACCTCAATGTTTTCTTAAAAACCAAATGAAAAGACCTAAAAATAAAATGTCCACCCTCCTGCCCTTAGAAATATCTTAATCTCTTCTTCAAGACAAGCTGGTGGAGATGAAAGCAAGACCCGCTGTATTTAAACTATTCATGAATACAGCCCATTTTTCATGCACTGACATCCCATCTGCACATGCTCGCAGATCAAAAATCACGGCAATCCCCGTCTCCTTAATCTACCCTTTCTGGTTTCCTCCCCTCCTACCCTCAATGTCCACTCCCAGCATAATCCTCGTATATTCGTAGACGACGTAGGACACGCTGACTGCTGGGATGATTTTCAGCAGGTTGGGGGAGATTCCTCGGTAGAGTCCGGCGATGCCTTCCTGCCGAAGGATGTTGTGAAGCAGGGACAGCATTGAAAGTTTAGGGGCCCCTCTCGCTGAGGCTGATGGGAAATAAAACAAAAAGAAAACAGGGTGAATTAAGCCAGATTATTGAAAAACAATGCTTTGTTTATAGAATTATAGAGTCTAGATCAGCATACATTTGTGAAATCTGAAATTAAAAACTGCATTATTAAATATTTGAATCTGGCTGGTGGAAAGTTTGGGTCGTCTTCTAAAAAGGAGAGCGTAGTTTAGGAAGTCCAGTGGTTTAATGTTGAAAACTTTGGATTTTAAATGCAAGTAGAACTGACAATTATGTGTTAACTAGTTCTTTTTAATAGCTTTTTCATTAAAATGAATAAGAAGATAATGAAATGGTTTGACCAATATTAACTACTAACTTTGAAAACTGCATCTTCTCCACAGCAAGAGGAGTCAGCTGAGGAGGCCCAGGACACGCTGGACGGACTCTAGTTTGGGAAGGGTAGAGGGTAGTGTGGGAGTCTCTGCTGAGAATGGCTCCTCTACGACCCGGTCCAGGATAAATGGAAGACAACTTTAGAAATAGTCAAGTACTGGTCTGTACTTGACTATTTCTGCTCCACTAAGAGATCATAACCACATTTTAATAAAGTGCCTCAGGGATTCATTTTATTTAATATTTAGGAACTTTGAATAGACAAAACCCAGAGAACAGACTAACCTTTCAGTACTGTGAACAGGTATCTTCTCCTTTTTTGTTTGTGCCTCTTAGATTTCTTCTTTTTTTTTTTTTTTACACTTCATTGTCGGAGATCATTAACCTCGCCTCGCTTTAAAATCTGACAAATACTTTTACCTTCAAGTATACAACAACTTTTATTCTGTTTTCAGTTGACAGATTAATTTCCTAAAAAAAAAAGAAATAGAACAAAGATAGCTTTGTGGGAAGATGTTATAAACCCCTTAAGTTAATGACGGTTTGTTCTGCCTTAAGCAGAAGGAGCCATTCACGGGTGGAGTCGGGAGGCGTGCTTTGAATTATTTTCCTGCTGAATGACAACTTTAGGTTTAACTTAGCTTATTTATGGCCGAGCATTCTCCTTTTCCTCCAGATCATCACTCTGCCACCACCATGTTTGACTATCAGCTCTTCCTATGATTTATGCTCATTTTTTTCCCATTTGTTAAGAGTGTGCTTTCCTTTTCTCAGATCACAGAAAATCTCTAAATTTTTCATCAGGATGTTTTATGGTGAATGGGAGACAAGCCTTTGTGACCCATGGGGACTACTTGCAGTCCTAACCTTTTAAATGGCACTGTAACCCTTTCCAGATCATTAGATGCGATTTAAAAAAATATATCTTTTCCTTCCTTTTTTTAGACGGTGCCATGTTGAGCTTTTTTAGATCTTCCGGCTTACTTTATGTTCTGTAACCTTCTTGATTCTACAGGTCAGATAGTTTTATAGCTGGTTGTTGATAGTAAAGTTAAACTTAAAAACCTTTAAATAGGTTATCATTTAACACGGTAAGAGTTGGTATTAAAAGCTTTCATCCTTCAATAAATACAGTAATCATCTGAAATCCACCTTTTGTATTTATATTCACCTGATAGGAATATAAATAAGCATTTGGTGAAGTCCACATGCCACTAGCTTTCCTAACCTTCTGCTTGCATCCGTGTGCGGATCAATGCCAAAGGGTAACTAGCAAGCATCCCACACGTGCTGGAGATGGCGCCGCATCCCACCAACACCATCACCCCTGGGTCGGGCAGGCCTCTGTTCCTGTTCAGCCATGCAAGCTTCAGTGTCTGTGGAAAAGAAGGGTGATTGGGGTGTGAACAGCGAGGGGAAACCCCCCACACCGACAGCCGTGTCTCTGTCTGACCTCGTACACTGCCAGGTCAATACCAGCATAAGGAACGATGCTCAGCATGTTGGGAACGTAGCCCTTATAGAAGGCTGCCGCTCCTTCCTGCAGCAGGATCTGTTTGGCACAGTCTGTTATTCCTGAGTACTGACCCGTTTTTCTGAGATTGAGGCGGGTCTTCAAAACCTGATGCAACAAACAGAGGAGTGCGATCAATCATTTATAAGCAACCCTAAAGCTGAATCTGTTAATGGCATCCAATGATTCCTTCACATTGAACCCATTACCTCCATTGGGTAAATGGCTGTCTGAGCTGTAGCTCCAGCCAAAGAGCCAGCAACAAACCTCTCATGGACCCTCAGAGTTCTCGTCTCGTCACGGCCATGCATCATGAGTTTTATCTATGCAGAATTAAAGGACATAAACAAGGAGATCATAGTTTAATTTGGGAAATTCAATTGGGGAAACATAACTTTTTTAGTTTTTGTGTGTGTGAAATGATCTCTTCTAGGTGAGGTTTGCTGTGAATAAAAGAAATGAAATAAATCACAGAGAGCTGAATGAAATCAAACTGAACTGAAACAAAAAAAAACATTTTGATCGGATGTGATGATGTGAGATATGATGTATTGTATTTATTCATTAGAGAATAGAATAGAACCATTTCCACAGCTTACTAGATCTTAAGAAGTTTCAGGCAATAACCAGTTCAATTAAGTTTATTTAAATAGCACCATTTCACAGCAAATGTCATCTAAAGACACTTGACAGAGAAAATTCAATCAAATTATACAAGCAGATTGGTTAAAAGTTCCTATCTAAAGTCCTAACTACTCACTGCTCCCCAAGGGGATGCGGTAAATGCAGAGGTACATTTCTACAATGTGAGATCAATAAAAGTCAATTATTATTAATATCCACACCCTTACAAAGTTTTTTTTTTTTTATTGAGGCTTCGGCTTCTCTTATTCCATTACTATAAATTTAAACAGTTTTGAGAAAAATATTTTGCTGCCGTACTCAGCAGATTAAGTTTCTGCATTTTTTTTTTCCCTTTATCCTGAGCTCACAGTACATGATACTTCTGCTCCTAGATAGACATATTTTAACAACATTTTATATATATGGTTTAGGTGATACTATGTAGAGGAAAAAAAAATATTTTGTTCATAAATATCTGCACATAAGTTCAGATACAGATAGAAAAAGCAACCTTTAGAAACCAATAAGTGTCTGAAAGGTGTTCACCTGTTCATAAGCAGTGAATTTGATGGCTGTCTCAGGAGCAATTTTCAACACATTGACTCCATTTCCTCTCCACAGAGACCAGGGTCCTCCCTCTTTCAACATGTATTGAAACCCGCTCAGAGCGTTCCCTTTAAAATCAGAGGAGCCATGTACCTGCCGGAGAGAGCAGGAACAACTATTGTTAGCTGTACCGCTGATTTAAAAAATCACACATTGCAGTTCAGGCTAAAATATTAATTGATACATAGAAGCAGAACCTGTCTGAAAACTTTGAGGCGTTCTAACGGAGCGGTTCCAGTTCTGGATACAGATCCAGCCATGACTCCAGCCATCAGCTGGCGCCACACATACCCAGACTTCCTTTCTTCTTCTGAAAACTCCTCTGGGACTGTAAGCTGCTCGCCTGTATCCAATATCTACTGAAGAAATGTAAAAGTTAGAATAAATTTCAGATGTTTTTTTGTTCCTTGCCGAGTAGGAGAGAGAACTGCTTTGATGTTCCAACCAACTACATCCCTGTCACTTAAAGAGTTCTGCATGACTGTTTTACCATTGAACGCTTCCAGAACCGAGCCACGTCCTCCATGTTGTTCAGAGGGTTGAACAGGAAGTGGTCACGCCACTCATTCCAGTCAATCGTCATGGTACCATCCCTGTCCATGCTGAAGAAAAACAAAATTTGTTAAAGGCCACAGTAACGGAGAGGCTGTCATTTAGACACAGATGATCTGCTGGGGTAACAGAGCAAAGGACTTAGGAAAGATAAAAACAAGCTGATGATGAAGGTTGGGACTGTTTTAGGAACTCCTCTGGAGATGATTTCCATCTATCCATCATCCATTTTCCATCAGGCTTATCCCTGATGGGGTTGCAAGGGGTGCTGGTGCCTATCTCCAGCTGTCAATGGGCGAGAGGCAGGGTCCACCCTAGATAGGTCGCCAGTCTATCGCAGGGCCACAAAGAGATAAACAGGACAACCTCTCAAACACTCACACCTAAGGAGAATTTAGAGAACCCATTTAACCTGACAGTCTTGTTTTTGGACTCTGGGAGGAAGCCGGAGTACCCGGAGAGAACCCATGCATGCACAGGGAAAACATGCAAACTCCATGCAGAAAGACTCTTGGCCGGGAATCGAACGTAAAACCTTCTTGCTGCAAGTCAGCAGTGCTACCCACTGTACTACTGTGAAACCCGAAGTTGATTTCACAAAGAAGAATTCTCCATAAAATGAGAAAACATCGCAGACATCTTAGACTCCTTGTGTTGAACAACGACAGAGTCTTCAGTCAGCCTACAGTGATCAACATCTACATGTTTGGTTCCGTCAACCTGTAGTCTGACTGGGATTTTATTTTTTCAAAACACCCTCTGTCTGTCACTACCTGCACTATATGTAGGAGTATTCCCCGGGCGCCGCACAATGGCAGCCCACTGCTCCCCAAGGTGATGGGTTAAATGCAGAGATAAATTTCTATAATGTGAGATCAATAAAGTTCAATTATTATTATTATTTTTATTTTTATATTCTAGAAAATAGCTGGTCTTCCCAGTACATAAATCTTAAACTAGCATTTATTCCAGTCCAGCCGGTTTACATGCACACTGAATTATTCGATTATTAAACATGCATCTTTAAAGACTGTATAAAGAGAATTCCCCAATTTTCTCCTAAACACATTATAAATGTCCAATTGTATTGTTTTACACTTTAAAACGTCTTCCAACCTTTTATGATTGCACTGTGGTGCTAAAAGTAAATTTTGGTTTTCAATATTCCTGTGATTTTTTTAAGCATGTCTAAAAGTGTGCATCAATGTCATGAAGTAGCCGCCTTCAGCATAGGCCCGCCCATAGGACTCTTCTGCATATTATCATCTCAGTGCCTGTATTTAGCACCTTTAGCAGATAGCACACACACACACACACACACATCCACACTGTACTGAACATAATTTAAATGTAATATTTAGCACAGCATCATTGCTAAACAGGAATCCATAACTGATTTTAATTATATTTATTGTAGGTTTTTGATATCTATTGCTTTTATCAAAACCAACAGCTACCACTGTTTTGTAAAAATATTTTGGAATTAATATTTTCCCCCATTATATGAAGACAGATGTTTTCCTGTCCAAGTTTGCGTCTCCACAAAGATTTGTTACCAAGCAATTATTCTGGCATTCAGCCGAAATAAGTATTTTGTTCAATCATAAATGAATGAAAATAGGAAAAAGATCAGCCTGATTTTAAACAAGATGGTCCCCATAAGTGTTCTGTATCTTTTTCTATCGTTTATGCGAATATCCATATGTGGTGTAAAGAATGATGTGATGAACAGATTAGACAACAGACCTCAGCAGAATCCTATTGGCATCTTTAAGGCTGATGTTTACACCGATGCTGTGCAGAAAGTCTCGAATCTCCGCAGCGTCGATCTGACCTACAGCACAACAATGAAATTAGAAGGTATGGGTTAAAATAAAAATAAAAAAAATAACAGAGGTTCATCAATCTTTAAGCTTTCTCCTTCCAGCCACAGACCGTCATTGTTTCTGTCCAGATTCCGAAACATGATTTTAAGCTGCTTCTCGTGGTTACGAAGATACTGAATGAACTCCTCAAAATCCAGGACTCCATCCCGGTTGGTGTCTCCGGCCTCCACCAACTGAGAGTGGGGAAAAAAAAGGAAAGGTAATAAATGATAGAGGCCAGGCATTTAGTAGGAAAACTACAGCAGGTCAGAGGGCATGCTAAAAACAGAGATTGTCAGGAGATGGTTGAAACAATGCAAGGGTACATAACAGTATCCTAAGCTGTGAGCAACTCACAGGGCTCTGCTCAGTCTTTTATCTTAAAGAGCAAAGAAAAAGACGACATTACGCAGCTACAAAGAGATGGCAATCAACCTAAACGTGTCAGGGTTCTGCCCTCGGTTTAAGTTTATATTCTTTGTTGTGCTTTGTCTTTCTTGAGTCACTCTCTGCTGCCCCCTTGTGCCCGTTTCCTTCCCCTTGGCTCCCTTCTAGTTTGTTCTATTCACACCTGCTCCATAGCCCTCATAGCTCATTAGCCCATTCTTTGTCCTGTTCCCCATATATACACCACCTCTGCAGTTCCTCAATGCCGGTTTCTTGTTGTTATGTTGTTACTTGGCTCCCTGTGTCTGTTTTTCCCTGGATTTTTGGGGGTTTTCAGTATTTTTGCTTCTGTTGCCTTTGGGGATACCATTAAATCTGCAAACCCACCTTTGCCTCCTCATCTCTGCATTTGGGTCATCAAAAACTTTAACTCAATGGTGACAAAACTGTCAGACAAAGCAAGAAGCAGAGAAGCAGCTAAGGAGCCCTAGGCCTGTGAGATGCTTCAAAAGATTTGAGCCTGAGTTGGAGGTTCTCCTTCCAGCAGGGCAAAGACTTTAAACTAACAGCCATTGAAAGTTTATACTTTTGCTGCACTGTGAATACATGGGAAGAAAATATCTGTTTAATCCATCAAATCAGACTGAGCTAAATGATCATTTAAATTGTAAAAACAGAGAGAGGCATGTACTTAAAAAGTGCAGCAAGGGAGCTGAACAAAGCATTAACTCATAGCGGATGAATACATTGCATATCACATAATTCAGATGTTTATTTGTTCATTATTTTGAAAACTATTGTTTCTCTTTTGACTCTACAATTAATAGCATTACATTTAATAGCATTTAAGGTGGAACAGTGGGTAGCACTGCTGCCTTGCAGCAAGAAGGTTCTGGGTTCAATTCTCAAAGTTCGAGAAGACAGAAGCAACCCTTTATTTATTGTTGTTTCACAAAAAGAAACAGTATGGCCTTTAAGAGGCCCTGAAGTTCATCACTGAAGATGGCAGTGAGTATGAGGGATGTGAAAGTAGATCTAGAAGATTCTAATTACAACCCTGATAAAGGCATAGACAGAGAAGAATCAAGTGGGTCAGTTTAATGCGTTTAATGCATTTCCATATTTAGAAACAAACTCACAGTTGAACAGCATGAACTCTGGGTTGGAAAAAGACGCTGTTAAAGAATAAATATTTTCCTGGAGAAGGAAACCTTTTGAGACCCCTGAGACTAAATTTAAAGGAACACGTGCCCTACCTGATGAGGTTCAGACCCCACTGGAGTACAACAGACAGTTCAACCTAACACACAAATGTTTTAAATGTCAATGTGTAGAAACACGCGTTATAAATTAACTTCAAAAATAATAAGCCATAAAAAATCAATGGAAAGTAAAAAAAGAAAAAAAAAGTATCTGTAAGAATAATAATGAAAAATACATTAAAGGATTTAAGGAGTACAAAAGATAAAGGTCACTATTCTCAGCTTACAAGAACAGCCTCCCTAGCCAGAAATAACCAACATGCTGGCCTTCATATGCACAACTCTACCGCCTTACACACTTTTCACCTGTTCACTCACTTTAGCATGGCACCAAAAAGCAGCAATAAGGAGAAACTGTTAACCTGAAAAAAATAAAAAGGTACCACAGATTGAGAGGGGCTAAACAGTCTGTGTTCACAAAACAGACATACTACTGATGTTCCTGTACAAACTGTACACAAACAACCCGGAGAGAACATGGTTCAGGGGGATTTACTGGCTAAAAGAGTAAGACATGCACACACATACATAAAAACAACATTTATATTTCAATTCATATAAAGACTTTACATTGAGTTAAATGAATGTAATTTGATAATAATAATAGGGAGCAGTGAGCTGCAATCGTGGGGCATCCGAGGAGCAGTGTGGGATTAAGGGTCTTGCTCAGGGACCCAGAGTGCAGGCTGTGGGGATCTACCAGGTACTTAGCAACTTTCTCAGAGCACGTGCATACTGCTCTAACCACTAAGCCAACACTCCCCCATTTATTGCATTTATGCCTTAACCCTGGCAGTTCACCTAAATCCCCACTTTAGCTCTAATCTCAGTCTCTATGGTAAAAATGGGGTCTGCCATATTAGGAACAACCATCAGTCCCCATAAGGCCTTTTGGTCATCAGAAGGTTAGTTAATGAACAAAAAAAAGTCCTAAATATGTAATATTACAATTATAAACATACCAGCAATTTAACTAAACCTCAGCAAGTAAAAGCATTGCTTTTCTTAACACCAACATTAAGCTGTGCTGCAAACACAGCCCAATGTGCAGAATGGGTCCCTGTAGAACTTGGTCCGCTCTGTTGAGGATCAACAAACCCACACCTTCTAAACTTCTATTCATCTAGTCATTGTTGTACACCAATTACAGAGATATGCTTAGTTGCATCACTTTACAGAGACATGCTTAGATGCAAGTTGCATCACATCTTTATTCTGTGTCTTGTCATTGACTTTTTTTTTCTTTAAGATGCAACATAACAAAACATGGAAACAATCACAAACTAATATTTTCTAAAGGAAACTTCGGATCATCAGTACTATCTTTACTTTTCAGGTAATATGACTCTAGGGGTGCAGCAGTCTATTATTTATTACTTTATTATATGGACGACTCCTATATGTGCAAAATAAACCATTAGTATCTACCATGAATAAAACTGTTCAAATTCCTCAAACAAGTTCAGGGGATCTTTCAAGATATGTTTAAATAAAATAAAGTTCTGAAATTCTTAAAAAAAAAAAAAAAGTGATTTCCTCCCATATTTATCTCAGTGAAGCCTAAACCATTAAGAAAGTCTGAGAAATTCTATTTTTGGGAACTAAAGCTGTGATTTAACATTCTGATAAATAAAAAAAACATACAGATGTAAAAACAAAACAAAAAAAAAACGATTTAAGTTATTTGTAAAATTTGTCATACATCAGGCATTATGTCTAATTCATTATAGGTCTTCTGTTTACCACATGAGTCTGTTTAAATCAGGTACTTAAGAACGATATACACTCACCGGCCACTTTATTAGGTACCCCATGCTAGTAACGGGTTGGACCCCCTTTTGCCTTAAGAACTGCCTCAATTCTTCGTGGCATAGATTCAACAAGGTGCTGGAAGCATTCCTCAGGGAGCTTGGTCCATATTGACATGATGGCCTCACACAGTTGCCGCAGATTTGTCGGCTGCACATCCATGATGCAAATCTCCCGTTTCACCACATCCCAAAGATGCTCTATTGGATTGAGATCTGGTGACTGTGGAGGCCATTTGAGTACAGTGAACTCATTGTCATGTTCAACAAACCAGTCTGAGATGATTCCAGCTTTATGACATGGCGCATTATCCTGCTGAAAGTAGCCATCAGAAGTTGGGTACATTGTGGTCATAAAGGGATGGACATGGTCAGCAACAATACTCAGGTAGGCTGTGGCGTTGCAACGATGCTCAATTGGTACCAAGGGGCCCAAAGAGTGCCAAGAAAATATTCCCCACACCATGACACCACCACCACCAGCCTGAACCGTTGATACAAGGCAGGATGGATCCATGCTTTCATGTAGTAGACGCCAAATTCTGACCCTACCATCCGAATGTCGCAGCAGAAATCAAGACTCATCAGACCAGGCAACGTTTTTTCAATCTTCTATTGTCCAATTTCGATGAGCTTGTGCAAATTGTAGCCTCAGTTTCCTGTTCTTAGCTGAAAGGAGTGGCACCCGGTGTGGTCTTCTGCTGCTGTAGCCCATCTGCCTCAAAGTTTGACGTACTGTGCGTTCAAAGATGCTCTTCTGCCCACCTTGGTTGTAACGGGTGGTTATTTGAGTCACTGTTGCCCTTCTATCAGCTCCAACCAGTCTGGCCATTCTCCTCTGACCTCTGGCATCAACAAGGCATTTCTGCCCACAGAACTGCCGCTCACTGGATGTTTTTTCTTTTTCGGACCATTCTCTGTAAACCCTAGAGATGGTTGTGCGTGAAAATCCCAGTAGATCAGCAGTTTCTGAAATACTCAGACCAGCCCTTCTGGCACCAACAATCATGCCACGTTCAAAGTCACTCAAATCACCTTTCTTCCCCATACTGATGCTCGGTTTGAACTGCAGGAGATTGTCTTGACATGTCTACATGCCTAAATGCACTGAGTTGCCGCCATGTGATTGGCTGCTTAGAAATTAAGTGTTAACGAGCAGTTGGACAGGTGTACCTAATAAAGTGGCCGGTGAGTGTATATCACACTGATAATATAGAGGTCTAAAAATCAATGTATTAAAATTATAAAGTTTGTGTTAAAAGGTTATGATAAACTGTAGTAGGTGTCTTGTTAGGAGGCTTAAATAGTAAATGAAATAGGTTCAGGATTCTGTGATTTATTAGTGAGAGACATTTCAAAATAATTTTGTGTTGCAGCTTTTTGTGATTTTTTTTACTTTAACTAAATAATAAAATTATTAAATAACAACAATAGGAAATTATAATTATTAAATAATTAGGTTTTTCTTTTTTTATTATTTAACTGAGAAAGTTTTTTCTATATTCCCTGCCTTTATGTTGTAACTCCAATAAAGACACAGAACCTTTTAAAGATCTGTTTGTTATGTAATATCTATCCGTTGTCTCCATCCGCACCCTGAATGCTCCTCCTTTACCCTGAAAAAAGACGGATTTAGGCCTCATTCTCACCCTCTCCAGGGAGCCTTTGGAGAGCCCTCGGCCTGCCAGCCCTGCCCGCAGCTCCAACATGTCAATGTGTCCATCTTTGTTGAGGTCCAGTTGGTTGAACAGCTCAGTCCAGCGCTTCCTTTTTTCCTGCTCCTGAAAAGGAGGTTCTCTTTCCTGACATTGCACCTTTAGAATCCAAGTAGACGGCTGGGGTACCATGACTGGTCGTCAGTCAGATTTAGCTGAAATTCAACAACATCAATTTAATAACCTTTATATGAAGGATTAAAATATTCATACCTGTTATATATTCTGCACAAAAATCCCAAAACATTCCAGATAACAGGTTCTAAATTGCACATGCATTTATTTTTTGTATAGGCAATAAATGTATGTGTTGTGGTTGATCTACAGATATTTACACAAATATTAAAACGTGAAAACTGGTTAAGTTCTGCCCATTAAAATAAGTGGATTACATGTTCGCCTGGCAATTTCAGAGTGGCTGTTAAAGAAAGATGAGTTCTAAGCCATGTAGTTGGAGCCAATTAAGAAAAAATAAGAAAAATAATACCAAAAAATATTCATTGTGCACCTCATAGTCTATCTCAAAGTACTACAAACAAAAGTACAAAAAAAAAACTTAAAAGGAAATATTTTATTAAATCGGAGCAGAAAAAAATACCTACTGCAAGAAGTACAAGTAACAGATGCCAATTTTTCTTTTTATGAGTGTTAGTTTGCACCTCACTTTTAAAGGTACCAAAAAGAAACAAAAACTGAGACCGCAGTCAAGTTTCAGAAACTGCTTTGAAAAATGTTTACAGTGGCATATCCTCCACCAATAAAATTCATAGTTTGGTCATTAGAATATGATCTTCGTATTGATGAAGACAAAGGCATAAAATGGTTTGCATGCACTGTCTGCTAAATCCCTAATTACCTTTGAAGATCTGCTCTGTGCAAGCAAACATATTTGCATCAGCTTTTAAGGCACAAACTTTCTAAAGATGAGCCCTGGAATGTCTTAGGGTAACACTGTGTAACATTTAGCCGCTAGGGGCAGTAGACCTCTAACTTACTGAAAACATCTGGCAACCAAATGTCACCAAATTAAACAGTCTCCCTCATAGCAGTGCACTTTAGAACAGCAGATTGAGAAATCAATGGGTTTGATCAGGTGTTATATATCTGTTTTGCTGCCCAATAATGTTAAGCTTGGATAGCTGGAGTTTAAGGGGAGCTCAGAGTGCTGTAAAGATGTGCTCTGGGTCAAGGACTGATTCAGTGATGGATCCAACCCTCTCAAGTTATAGACAAGTTTTTCAGAAGAGCAACCAGCATCAATTTACACCAAGTGCTGTATACTGACCTGAGAAATAATTGCATATTTCTCAAATTAAGCTACCACTTGGGTTCAAATGAGAACTTTCTATGAAGAAGAGAATATGAAATTTATCAGACTGATGTAAACATTTCTATAAACTATGCCACGGTTATATCAAACCTTTCAGAATGAAGCCCATTTAAAACCTTCAGGTAATTTGTATTTGATGCAGCCTTTAAAAATCTTTAACTTCCTACATAAAGGTTCGCAACCTATAGAACCCAAAGAGCAATTTTATCCTAATACAAACTGAATAAAAGTCGTTCAGACCTGAAAATATTACATGACCTTTGAATAAAACAGAATTTTTTTTGTGTTAAATATCATCTATAGGAAATCTGTTGTTTTAAACATTTAAAAAAAAATCTTTTTTAGGTTTTAAATTGAGAATGAACAAAAAGTTTCTTAAAGAATTGTATTTTTTTTTCTATTGGATGTTATCTGTGAAAATATGTACCGGTAGAGAAAAAAAAGACAATTACCAAAGCTAATGACAGAAAAATTCATCTATTTTGTGAGTTGTATTGGTAATCACACTAGCCACTATTGCAGAGGGTACTGTGAAGTTAGGAATCTGAGTCGGAAGCATTTTCTCGCAAGATAATCAATGTTATTTATCGTCCTTTGGACGGAGAGGGAGATAGAGCTCTCTCTGACTTAATCATCTTAAACACATAGATTTTATAGCAAAACGCTCCAACACCCTCTCTCTCCCATGACACTAAATCCACCCCCTGCACAAAGATCTCTCTCACACTTGAACTTCTGGCTATTCCCAAGAAAAACACTTGAGTTTATAAAGACATAAATTTTAGCCCCAGCATGAAGGAAGTTGTGTGAACTCACTGCAGGCCTTGATGCTTTTTTTGAAATCCGATTTTTTTGCATTTTTTTCCACATTTCCAAATATATGCAGCTTGTATGAGATCTCCAACTGCAGTCATCTAACGCAAGTGTCCCGCATGCCGAGTAGATGATGCAATGACGTCCCAGGCCAGCAAGCTTTGTTTTTAACGGAAGTAAACATGGATGGTAGTGCCGGGGTGCATCTAGCAATCTTTCCCAACCATAAAAACACATTGTTTTCAACAAGGTTAAACATAAATACTGCTCTCCGCATCATCGTCTTCTTTGGTTGTTGTTTTTCTTGCAAGGCCCAGAGCAGTGACCTTTGTCGGGTATTAATGGCGTTCAGATCGGACGAATGCGACCTGGCCGTTCAGACACAGGTTGCATTTGAGAAGATCACATTCGTATCGGATTTAGGACCACATAGCCAATTGGCCTGGGTCGCATTGGAAAAAAATCGGATCTGTGTTGTTCAGACAGCCATGAAAAGATCAGATCATGGTCGCATATGGACAAAAAAATCGGATTTGGGTCACTTCAGGCTGCAGTGTGAACTTAGTCATTATCTCTCATGAACTTCCATTCACCCTTGTCTAGAGTAGGGAGGCATCTGCTTTCTGTCCCTTTAAACAGTACAGCATAGTGAACGGTCAGGATTTCTCTATCATTACTCCTATTCAAACAGGACAATCAAAACATTTTATCTCACAAAATAGGCCGAGGAAAAATGTAATTGCACAGTACATTAAGCTCAAATTAACTATACTAATGCCACATAGTCTAATAAAGATAGTTAATTTTTAATCTGTAATTTCTAATATTTATTTCCTCTGGATAAAAAAAAAATATATATATGTGCATTTATGAGTGAGTGCCAAAACAGCCTCAAGCCCATAGACCCTGATCCTTCTAAATACGCCCCTGCTAAGTAGCCTGCAGGTTTCAAGTTAGAAACAGTTTCCCTGTTTTCTTCCACTGGTGTGTATGAAGGTCATTAGAGTTCAGGCAAAAAAAAGTATCAATGAATAATAATTTCTTCCTCTAAAATAATTAGTGCTTAAATAAAAACCCAGACAAACACATTGTTTGATTAAACCCTAACTAGATGGTGTGGTGGGACTGGACAGCCTCTGCTTGGTGGAGCGTTTAATGGCTGCTGAAAATATCAGAGGATAAACAGACAAAATAGCAGATAAACTGCATATTTTCACTTCACAGGCAGCACGGCTTGACGCGGGCTGCATGACAGCGATAATAATCGTGTTTAATCTAATCCTCCACCAGTTATGGAGACTGTTTAGAGTCTATTATCACCTCTGCCGCGTTCCGACGCGCTGTCTATCTGCACACCGAGCCGCCGCCGTCCATCGCCGGGTGAGAAAGCGACCTGGAGCGGGAGAGAAACCAGCAGCTCCGGAGCTATGGGGGATCCCGTCCTTCAGCCAGAGCTGCTCACGAAGCAGGAAGAGGCGACAGAAGCAGCGTCAGGGCAGGGAGTGTGGAGGATGTAGTTCTGTTTAAAGCTACAACTGCCTCATATCTCCTTTTTTACGGTTCCCTCACACCGCTGACTGATTCTAACAGGCATTTATTTACAGTCACAACGGCTTCACTACTTGCGTTTCTTAACCACCATAGCATTTCGCTTCTTTTACACATGTAAACCTAGTTAAACACAACATGAACGTGTGATTTCAAAGCTGTAACTGTCAGTAGGCTACTTGTATGTCTTCAGGGTAGCTGCACTGCAGGTTTCAAGTTTCTTCACATGACGGTTGGCATTTCACCCCCTTCTCAGTGTCCAGCCTGTAGGATGGAGGTTTAAAAGTTCAGGCTGGACTGCAACCTGGTTTTAATGGATGCAGGTGGTCCTGCGGGACAGCTGCACCCTTAATAGACTATAATAAATGATAAACTAACAAACCCTAATATGGAAGCTAATCGTTACCATATTTTAAATAAAAACGCATTCCCAGAAATGCTTTTTTATTTTAAGAATGTGGCTGCATTATTTGACTCATAAATGAAATTAGTAATCAATCATCCTCATCAAGAAAATGCAAATGCAAATAGGATGATTGATTACTAATTTTATTTATGAGTCAAGTATGCAGCCAGATTCTTAAAATGAATTTTGGTATGCATTTGCTGGGGTACATTTTGAAAAATAAATCTCAAATGTTTTTTTCTTTTTCATTTTAATTAAGTCAAAGAATGAGCAGTCCTGAAGTAGAAAATTAAAATGCAAATAGGATGATTGGATGAGTCAAACAATGTAGCCACATTCTTTAAATGAAAAAGCATTTCTGAAAATGCTTTTTCATGAAAAATTTGAAATATGGTAACGATTTTCTTCCATACCCTAAGGTCAGAGGCGTAGCCAGAATTTTTAAAAAAGGGTGTCCAGGCAATAAACAATGTACGCTGTGGGTGGCCAAAAGCGGATAGGCACCAGAACCTCAGGGTCAATCTACCCTGTTCCAACAGGAAAATGAATGAGCAAAACATGAATATTTTCTAAATAAAGACAAAATGTACTTTCCTACAGCCTTTGCTAACAAATAGACGCATATATTTAAACATCCGTAATTTCTAGATAAAAGTCATAGTTTTCTGTTCTGGGGCGTAAATCTTTTCCATCATTATTACTTACCTACTTGTATCAATAAAAATTCTGCATAAAATTGATATTTACAAGCACTAATATATACATGAATTGATTATTTGATACGTTTTTATTAAAATTGTTATTTATCTTTGATTTTACTGAAGACTCCTAGGCTACGTTCACACTGTAGCCTGAAGTGAGCCAAGTATGATTTTTTTGTCCGTATGCGACCTATATCAGATCTTTTCATTTCAGTCTTAACAACAGAGATCCGATTTTTTCCAATGCGATCCAGGCCGCTTGGCTATGTGGTCCTGAATCCGATACGAATCTGATCTTTTCAAATGCGACCTGTGTCTGAACGGCCAGGTCGGATTCATCCGACCTGAACGCCATTAATACTCAACAAAGGTCGCTGCTCTGCTTCTTGCTACGCAGAATCTGCAAGAAAAACAACAACCATGGCAGATGATGATGCGGAGAGCAGTATTTATGTTTAACCATATTGAAAAGATTGAGTTTTTATGGTTGGGAAAGATCGCTAGATGCGCTCCAGCACTACCATCCATGTTTACTTCCGTAAACACGGAGCACGTTGGCCTGTGACGTCATTGCGTCCTCTACTGCGCATACGGGACACTTGCGTTGCATGACTGCAGTTCACACAGGAGATCACATAGAAGTCGCATATATTTGGAAATATGAATGGCAACGCAAAAGAAATTAAAATTTCACCAAAAAAAAAATCAGAATTGAGCATCAAGGCCTGCAGTGTGAACATAGCCCTAGATGACTTGCAAAGACACATCATTTTCTCTTTACCCCTTATAACATAAAATCAAGTTCTGAAAAGAGCATGAATTCTGTTCTTATCATCTTTATTGTTAGTATATTGATGTGTATAATTACCCACAAAATTATTATTATTTTTTTATATTCCTCTTGAGAGTATTACTACTGCCACCATCTGTATTAGAGGGGAAAAAATGGTAGGGGTGGCCAATGATTGGCTAAGGGTGGCCATGGCCATCCCTGGCCCCCCATCTAGCTCCACCCCTGCCTAAGGCAAAAAAAAAAAGATGGCAATATATTTAAAAAGTACATCATAATGAAGGGAGGAAACAACATTTAAAATAACCCCAAATAGAGCTAAATTGACAAAAAAATAAATATATATATATATATATATATATATATATATATATATATATATATATATATATATATATATATATATATATATATATAATATGAAGGGTGAAGGGAGACTTTAATGGTAGAGGAAATTACAGTTTGACAATAACAGCAGAGAATAGTTAGAACAGAAGAAAATCCCTTTATTGTCCCACAATGGAGTAATTGTGGTGTTTACAGCAGCAGCGTTTATAGCAATGGACCTTACAAGGTGTATAGAAATAACAGAATAAGTGACAGAGTTAAGAAAATAAACAAAATACTGTACTGTACAATGTTTTTACAATATAAATGCTATAAATCTGGAGAATAAATACCGTATTCAATATACAGCTGTGGACCTTTCTACAGTAATGGATATGTGAAAAAAAGCCACACCAGAGATGTGCAAAAAAGACAGCAGAGAGAAACTGTAAAAATCAGCATGAATGTAACAGCTTATTGAGGTTGTTGGAAACAGTGGTTATAAAGTCTTACAGATGCTGGAAGGAAGGATCGGTGATAACGCTCTCTGGTGCATTTAGGGTCCAGCAGTCTGTTACTGAACTTTCCATGCTTCATGCATGGGATGGGAAACATTATCCTCCAGAGATGTTAATTTAGTTAGGATCCTTTTGTTTCGCACCTCCTGCACTGAGTCCAGTGGGCATCCAATTACAGAGCTGGCCTTCCTGATCAGCTTATCCAACCGAGTCAAAGAAAATCTTTAAGAGTGCCTCCTGCACTCCAAAAGACCTCAGTCTCCTCAGCAGGAAGAGTCTGCTCTGACCCCTTTTTGTTGGGAGCCTCAGTGTTGTAAGTCCACTGGTGTCAGTGGGGTGGATCTTCAAAATTCACCACCAGATCCTTGGTTTTCCCTGCATTAATCAGGAGGTGGCTCCGCTCAGTTAGGGTAGCCATCCTAAAATTAGACGGTGGTGAGTTTGATTTCAACTTGTGCAGTTGTTCCCCGAGGCTACTGTATTAACTTCAAGTAGTCTGTGTGTGCAGTTGTATGAATGTTTAAAGGAATGTGTCTCTTTGGTACATTGTTTTGAGTGGTGAAAGAAAAAAAAATGAGACAAATTATAAAGAGAATGACCGGAAATCAAAGCTTTTCCTTCTGCAAAAGGGGAAAACAAACCTAACAGATTAAGCAAAATTGTTTAGCAATATAGAGGATTCTTAATCAATCTAAACTGAATACAAAGAATGAAAACATCCCCATAGTAATATGCTGCCACCACTGTGTATCACTGTGGGGAGGGTGTTATTCTTTATAAAAATAAAACATTATGTTCCTTACATTTTAAAACATGTCCGCTCTTTGTGTTGGTCAGTCACAGTAATTACATTTATGTGTGTGGTTTTAACATTAGAATATGCATATAAGTTAATGGTGTGCACATTTATTATGAGGTAAACATCTAGCCACTTCTGTAAATAAGGTTTTACATAATTTCACCCAACATGCATCACTTCTTTCATTTCCTATGGTTTCAAGGCCCAAACCAAATTGATTGACTAACAGCTACGTCTGAACCACAGTGGCTTGACCTTCGCTGCATGGTTCAAAAGCTTGTCCATTATGAAACTCCTAGTGAGCTCTCAGACTGTGAGGCTGCCTCTCCACCTGCTCAGTCTTCATCACTTCATTATCTTTTTGCAGAACTCTGCAGGATGATCCATGTTTGGACCAGCGCAACCCTTTATGAAAGCACCAGTGTACCCTGACTAAGAACACACAGCGTCCTGGTTCTTTAATTTTCCTTTCATATAGACTGACCTGCTTTGTGTCTTCTGTTGACAGGTCTACCTGACCTGTGAACATGTTCACATCTCACCCCCGAACAGATCCCAGCTCCACACCTGCTGGTCTGAGAGCAGCAGATTGACAGATCAGATAAACCACATCTCTTCTACTCTATATAAGAGCTGCACTTTAAAGTGCGGGAGGCAGACTGACAAATTATTGACTGTAATAATATCCTGATAAGAGCTGAATTTTTAAAACATGTGTAAGGGACTCTCTTACCTGCCTTCCTCCTGCTTGGAGAGGTAAGTGTTCATCAAGGATAATTTGTGACTACGTTGTTGAATCTGAAGTGTTTATAATGGAGTTTCATGTGTTTTCAGGGCAAAAGGGATGCGAGTGAAGCTGAGCCATCTGGCTGAGATCCACCACAAGCAAAAGTAACCAATCTAAGCCTTTTTACCAGTTTCATTTCTGGCAGTAAAGACGATTTTCTAATAATTTATGAATATTTTTTAGGGTCCAGGATGGAAAAATCCTGCAAGATCTGGAAACTCTCCTGAGCAGCAAAAGTAAGACTCTCCATTTCTGTTTGAAATCTAGTTTAGGAGTGTGTCGTGGCACCATTCATGCGAAGAGAAAGCCCCAATTGCAAATAAACATACATATTTAACAGTTCATGTTTCTATATATTATGCACGGTCAACCTTTACAGAAAAAGAAGCATTTAATGATCCTTCCTTGAGGTTTATTACAAATCTGACAAATACCCATATATTGCAACACCCATTGCATAAGGAAGTTAAAATAAAGTAGAACTAAATCTTGTGATTCATGTCATTATGCTTACACTTAGATAACATACTATATGCACATGATTTTAAGAATGAATTGAAATATTTTTCTGTGTTAATAGCATCTATTTAGCTGCATGTGTTAATCACTACTGCCTATGTTTCATTTATCCATTGCTCTGCATTTTATCCAACATAGCTTTGTGTTGGAGTAAAATAAAAAAATAAATATAACTTTTATTGATGAAGAAATAAGACAGTTGTGATATTGTTAATTTGTCCAATAGACTGATGAGAATCCTACATCACATGCTCAGTTTAAACCATCTTTGCTCCCACAGGAGAGAACGATCCATCACATAATTCCTTCAGGGAAAATACAGATAAAAAAGTATAATTTATATAATGATTACCTTTTTTATGATTGCATATACACTGTTTGTATGAACCACTTAACAGCTATGTAGTTTGAATCAGCCGTTTCTTCTAACAGGCATAGACAACGAATGTTTTAAGCAAGCATGGCTGGTTTAATGATGGTACTAATGGCGAGGGACAGGAGCAACACACTGCTGCAAATTGATCTCTAAAGGCTTAATCTAATTGGGTATATCCTACATCTTCTGTTATTTTTTTTTTCTAATGAGACAGACAAATGAGAAATAGTTAAATAAGCCAACAATTTGATTAAAGAAAATTGCATAAAGTTGTATTCATTTTTAAAATTTTGCTATTGTATCTGTAAAGTAACAACTGTTGCAACTGTACCCACTCTCCCCTAAGCAATCTAGTGTCTTAAATAGAGGCAATCTTAATAAATTTTAAAGAAAAAAAAAAAATAACAATTGTCATTTTCTACTATACCCTTTAGCTCATTTGATCAAGACAATAATCATAAATTTTTATCTGAGTGTAGATAAGACCCGACACAGAAACCTTCTTGGTCTTTATCAGAAAAAAGAGTTACAAGAAACTAATCTTACCCAATTCAACAATCTTCACATTAAGTAATGCAGATCAGTTACAAACAAACTTCTGTGTTTCTGGAACTTTGTTGTAAAGTTGCTGTTAAAGCTAATTTTGGAATCATATATCTGAGCATTTTTTTCTATTACGTGTTTTTTGCTGGTTAAAAAAAAAGTTTAAAGATAAGACAATGATTAAAAAAATATATAAAACCTGCTTTTTAAATGGTCTTTTTGTTTTGAGAAACATGTTTGGTTAAATAATAGTTTAAATTGTTCAATAATCTGTTGTCTTTCGTTTAACATCAGACTAAACTTTCAGATATCTGTTGCTCTGTAAAAGTCGTATGAGGATCTATAACCTGGGAAATACTGTCCATTATTAAGACTTTCTGGTTTACATTAACTGGTAAATGTTTACAGCTTTGAGAAAAATTGGCTTTGTAAAATCTCTTGATAAAGAAAAACAAGTTGTTAGGATAGAGACATCATCAGCTGGCAGGAGGCCAAACCTGCAGCCTGTGTCTGGAGATCTGGCTTTAGTGCTTTTCCTTTCATGTTTAAATCAATTTCCTCTAGCCGCTCCATCCTCTGTGTAACTTTGTCCCTGTCCTTTCAGTTGGCCTTCAAGCCTTTCGAGGTTTCCTGCGTTCAGAGTTCAGCGAGGAGAACCTGGAGTTCTGGCTGGCCTGTGAGGACTACAGGGTTTCTCCTTCAAAAATGCAGAAGATCAAAGCCATTAGCATCTACAACCAGTTCATCAACCCTGACGCCCCACTGGAGGTCAGTGCAGAGGATGCAGCGCTGAGCCTGAAGGATGTATAGGAATAATCAAGCCTGTTTTGACCACCTTTGTTTTTTTGTTCATTGCAGGTGAACCTGGATGCTGAGACCCGTGAGGCTCTGCTGGCGATGATGGACTCTCCGTGTGCAGAAACCTTCAACAAGGCGCAGCAGAGGATCTACAGCCTGATGGCCAAGGACTCCTTCCCTCGGTTTCTTCGCTCTCATCACTGCGCGGAGGCCATAAAGGCCTTTTAAACTTTTTACCAGCTTCACAAACAAATCTTTTCGATGTATCATTTATTCTAGCATCTTTTTAAGTCATGTATGCCTTATTACATGCTGTTGTAACATTGTAGCATCATAATGCTTACACATAGATGCAAAAATACATCATTTCTGAACTGCATAAGCTACTCACATTTAAAAAGATTCAAATAAAGTCTTAAATAAATAAAAAACACTAAGTGAGCTGTGTGTGGATTCATTCAACATATTCATTTGACAAATGAAGCTTTAATTGTATAGAAATAACACAAAATTCACCACAGTTTGTCCCTGTTTAAACTAAGATCTGATTTGTGTGATCCCATTTCAGCTGTCTTAGAAATCTTCCTTTCATCCTGAACAATCATTTATGTGTCAGGTAAACATCAGGACTCCTTCATACAGGTTGGTTTCGGCAAACGTTCACTCATCTGGAATGGGAACAGTTTATTTCACTGTACAAAGAAAAACACTTCCCTGAAAGAGGAGAGAAACAACCTGAAGATAAAACAAAAACTGAAAATCAGGCTTCCACCAATCCGCCGGCGACCCAAACAGAGGTTTATATAAAGTCCTCAGTCCACAACCTGAAGCTGATGGGATCCAGGTCTGCGATGGTCCTATTTGGTGCTGGTTCCAGGCTTTCCTTTCCCCTCAGCCCCTTTAACCACAGTCAGAGGCTTATGGAGGGAGGAACTGGCCTTCTGGGTCACCTCCTGCTCAATCTTGTTTCTGATGGCAACCTCCAGGCCCTATGGGGGAATAAACCACGATGAAATCAAAATAAAACTAACATCTTTATACATTAGCAGATTGGTATTTTTAATCACCTTCTTTAGCTTTTGTTGCTGAACCACTTGGGCCTTTTTAGGCGCGATAACCCTTCCTTCAAAAAATAAATAAATTATATAGTTGACGAACATCTCGGTACGTTTATGTACTTCATGTTATGTAATATCAAATAAAATTTTTAGCTGACAAAATAGAAAATTCATTGTATTAAAAAGATAAGTCTAAAACATGTCTATAAGACATGTGTTTGGTCACATGTTTATGTTGAGTTATGGCTTTGCTTTCTTTTCGCGGACCGAAACTGCAGTAATAATTCAGATTAAAGTCATACCTCCTTTCTTTGGCCCCTTCGGTTTGTTTTGTTGGTGTTTCTTTGGGGCTCCGGGACGCTGAGCCTTGAATTTCTTTGAGCCTTGAGCCATTTCTACTGAGAACGAATACTGACTGTTTCTTCGTCATACCATTCAGGCGGTTAAAGTCCGAGTTGATCTTATTAGCGCCCCCTACTGGTTCATTAGGGCAAGCTTGAATCACTTTTGCATAAATTCTATATAATAGTCATTAGTAGACAACCTTTCGGTGCTTATCACTACCAACGCGTAGTAACTACATATTTTTATGTCAAAACGAGCATAAAATTAAGAGGTTAGATTTATTATTCTTGATAAAATATTATTCTTGATAATTAATAACGTTTATCAGTTGAATGTTCCGCTCATTTAAATACTGTATCTTTTAAACAAAGCAAATAATACAAATTCAAGGTTTCCTGTTTTCTGCACTATTCTCTAAAACACATTCCTTAAAAGAATCTTGCACAATATATCCGTGATATATCTCATTTTAAATTTAGATGATTATGGCTTAGAGCTAATGACAATCATACCCCCTGCCCCCTTTATAAATTTTATTTATTTTATAAATTATTTATAAAGCAAATAAAAATGATAAAGAACAGTAAAATATGTTATGGTCCAAGCAATTATTCAGATGACTGCTGGCTGAACAGCTGACAGAATTCAGTGTAGTAATGTGTCTCTGCAGGCAGCTTATGTTTTTTTCCTTTTCTTTTTCATACTTAAATGTTTAAGGTAACCAAGCCATAACAATAATGCTATGGATCTCCCCCACAGAAATGGACAGCTAAAACTGAAACCCATTCAGCAGCTAGATCTGTGCAGAAAACTACAGAAATCACATCTCCTGAATCAAACCCTTTGATTTTCTCAGTGTTTCAAATGGATGCACTTAAAAAGGGCTATATTTATTTAAAATGCAGTGTCATTCCAGGTGCACTCAGTGCGTGGAGATTTTCAAAAATTTTTCTTCAGCCCATTACAACCACAGTCTTCATCGTATTTTATCTTATAGACCGACATGAAAAAAATGCATCAATTTAAATTGAAAGGTGTGCAACGATTATGTAATCAGTTAATCTGATAACTAATGGGGGCCGATAATCTGCAGATTGCAATCTCAACAAAAATTCCAGCCCAAACAAAAAGACAAAACAATTACCGGTAATGTTTCACTGTTTTATTCTTTTTTTTTTTTTCTGTATCCATGTGAAAGAAAAACCTTTTCCTTCATCCAGTTTGGACCTATTTCCACATCACAAACTTAAACAGAGATAAAGTGATTTTCAATAAAGACAAATTTGCACTTAAAGAGGCCACCTGAACAACACTTCCTCCACTGTAATTCATTTTTCCCATAACCCACGAGCACCTTGCTTTGATCAAAGTCAATGTGAATTTTTGGCACCACAGAACCTGTTGGTGTTTTAACCTTTCAAACCCAGCGATGATGCACTGCAGCTTCAGGACATGCTGTGAAACTGTTAATTCTGCTAAAAATCCAGAATCTATTCACAAAAAAAGCATCACTTTGGGTTAAAGAGCCGATAATAATTTCACTCTGGGTTTCAGCGCCCTGCTGCAGTGAGTGCTCGTGTACAGAGTCCATGCAGGCAGACGGAGAGGTAGTGTGTTTGGCTAAGGAAGGCCTCCTCAGCGTGGCGTTCTAATGGCCTACTTAGAGTCACAATGATAATCAGGGATTTAAACAGAACACAGTCAGACAGGTATAATTACCATTGACAAATAAACACTGACCTCCTCTCCCTTCAAAGAAAAAGAGACGGGGTTTGTAACGGATTAAACATGTTCATATTTGCTACATACTTGTGGAGATTCATCAAAAAAGTGCCTCCGAAATGTCTAAAACTGTACAAAACAAAAGAGACATTTGTTCTTTACGCTGGCATATGACCAAGCTTTGTGAGCTGGTTAAATGGGAGAGCAAAACACAGTGAGACATCTTTTTATAAAACATATGATAGAGTGATAGATACTATGATTCAAAGTTTTTTTTTTTCTGGACAAAAACTGCATTGAAGTTGCAGGTTAATATGAAACCAACAGCAAAATCAAGACAATAAGGATTATTAGTGGGAGCCCCCCTTTAAATTTTTTAATCATGTAATGTTTATATGTTGTTTAAAAAGAAAAATTATTTAAACTGTAACAGCAACAGACTGATTGTCTACACCTATGCTCCACTGTTTATCAATCAAGCCGCTGATATTTGTAAGGATTACAGTGTAAGGATTTTCAGAATAAAAGTCCACCATATTAGTAGCTGGGCATTCTTCAAAGAAAACAGCCTCCAGTTTGGTTTCAAGTAGTTAATTTAAGTTGAATTAAAAGCTGCCAAATTTTGAAATATTCTTTTCTCCAAAAAACAAAAAAAAACTTTTAGATAGCTTAAGATGTTAAGGTAAAATGCTAACCATTTATATGACATTATGAGCAATTTTCAAGAAATTTGTAAAAATAAAATAATTTCAACCCACCTACGATATGTTTAGTTTCGCCAATTTCTTTAAAAATATTCTCATCTCATAAGCGTCGCTGTGTAATCAAATCATAGAAAGGTAGCACATCCTCTTAAAACAAGAGTCCCCTCACAGGGTTTGGCTTTCTACATATATATATATTTATTTATATATTTTATTCCTCTAACTACATCACAGTGCTACACATGGATACACATGTTCAGATAATCAACTTAAAAATGTATATGTAAACCTTAGTTAATTTTTATTTTTTACAAAATGTTGAGATTCTCTTATTTATTGTTTGCTGATTTTAGCAGTTTTGATTCACCTCTGAAGTGGGATCCCCTATCTGTGAATGACATGTAGACGCAGGCTGGAGGACCAGTGGGAGGAGCTAAATGATGTGGATAAAAACACAAGATGATCAGAAACGGCACTATGAATATTCACCTTTCTCCACATTTAATGGTTTGAAAATAGTTAATATTGGAACAAAGACCCACAGAAAAAATATGATAAATTATTAGAATTTCCCATCACTTAATTCCTTTAACGTTTACTAATTTATATGGATGGCGGCCATATTGAATTGGCTTGCAGAGATAAAAACAACAAAAAAATCCTCAGTGCAGAACAGCTTTTCGTGGAGGAGGTTTGATGGTATGGAAAGAAAAAGGCCTCCAGTGATGGAGGCAACTTCAAGGCAGGGAAAGGGAGACAATATTCTGCAAAAAAACCTCTTTAGTTTTCAAGCCACAACTCTATCCTCCAAATCTCTGTGTTCTCTGCTCTAGATTGGGATTCATCAGAGACTACTGCAAGAAATCTCAGAGAGCAGATCCCACTGGTTTCCTACTTTAGCTCTGCTCCAGCGTGGCATCCATAGTTTATCCAAAATCAAAATTCAGATACTAATCGAGCACAGCACTAGAAATAATTGTCAAAAATATTTTTTTCAGCTCCTGAAATGCTCTTAAAGGAACAAGAAAACTGGCAACTACATCTGATCAACCCTTAAAATATTGCGGCGGTTAAGTGGCTAAGATCGGAGTTATTCTAACCGTGTGATGATATGAACCTGATATGTAATTATCCTGAACCTAAAGAGAACAGAAACTAATGTGTGGCTTTGAGTGGAAGCTCAGTTGAAGGTCTGGGGGATCAGAATGAAACATTGATTTAATAAAAGAGGGAGGACGAACCCAAACAGCTGAAAGCACATTCTGCTGTGAGCACAGAGGCAAATAGTTATCAAGAGTCTGAAGCCCTACGACACAGAGGGCTTTTACATTCAGATAGTGGATGGAATTGCCGTGTTTGTTGCAGCACTTATTTTAAAATACATTTACTGCCCGAATACACACCTGGAACCTTAAAGGAACAGTCCACCTTTGCTACGGTCAGTGCGGTCAAACCAGCTGGATAATAAATAGCTACCCAACAAGTAGATCTTTAAACCCTTTTTGTTTTACATAAACTTTGTAATCTTGATTATTGTTTAATCATTTAAGAAATTCAATTTTAGAGATGCACAAATTGACATGACAAAATTAAAATTTCTCTCAGTTGGCTCTGATGTGCGTCTCAAATACTGAAAAAAAATCCCACCATGTCTGTATTTCCCTATTGTTAAAGCCAACTGCTGCACTTTTTTGTCTCGCTCAACAGTTTCCAAGTTTAAGAAACTGAGGGTCAGTCAGAAAAAAAGGTGTTCTTGTGTTCAGACACTTTAAGTCCAGCCTTCTCCATACCATGTTGATGTGCCCCTGGGCAAGGCACCTGACCCTAAATTCCCTGTGATGTGCTCATCAGAATACCAATATGGAAGAGTTAGTGCAAAGTGCTATGAGTGAGCAGTTAGAATAGAAAAGGTTTGTTTTTTTAACGGCAGAGGTAAGCAGTTTCTACATGGCAGAAATGTGAGCTGTTTACAATCCAAGGAAATTTAAAAGACTCATGGCAAAGAAAGAGTTGGAAATCCAGGACAGACCTGATCCATTAAGTAGTTGTGTGTCATTTTTAGTTAATGGCTTTTAGAAAATCATCCTAATGTTTTATTAGGGATGGACCAATTGATAGATTGGCACAACATTGCTGGAGACAGGCAAACTCTTGTAGGATTGGCTTATCAAAGGGTGGAGATAAAAACAAAAAGATTTTTTCCTGGTTCATGAGTGTTTTTTTGTTTTGTTTTTTTGCAATTACCGGTAATAAAAAACAGATAGAGGTGGATAGGATGCATAAATAGTGATAAGTTTGTAACTCCAGGGAGAATGGAGTGGAAGATCAATAGACAGATCAGTGAGGCTTCTGCTTTGATGCATACATTTCCCTGGTCTGCTGTGGTGAACAGAGGGCTGAGTGAAAGGCCGGAGCTGTCGATTTACCTGTCTGTAAGTGAAATCTAGTGAAATCTGGATCATGATCGAAAGAAGGAGATTCCAGCTCCAAGCAGGTGAAAGAGGGCTTTACTCTTCCTTAGAGATATCGAAAGAAGCTCTGTCATCTGGAGTAAAGCTACTTCTCAAAATTGAGAGGAGTCAGCTGAGGACATCTTTTTGAGATGTCCCCTAAACGCCTCCCTTAAGAGGTGTTCCAGGTGTGTCCCGCCAGGAGACGACCCAGGCGCTCTGGGGGAACTATGCCTTTTGGCTAGCGTGGAGGCCCCTCATGCTTCCCCTAGCAGAGCTGCAGGCGTCTGCGGAGAGGGAAGTCTGGGAGTCTCTGCTCAGACTACTGCCCCTGTGACCCGGCCCCAGACAGAGCAGAAAATAATGAATAAGGTTCAATTGAATTAAAATTTTTAATTAATAGTGGAACTATTTGAGTTATTTTTAGTAGCCTTTGTGAAAAGAAAAGGGAATCTGACCTGGCAGGTGTGACCTCAAAGAAAGCAGCACCAGCCTCTTCTCCAAAACAGCTCTACATGAAGCTGAAGGAGCTGAATGACAGCTGCAACCCATCAGGCTTCATAAAGGGACATAATCCAAAGACTGCAAAGAAGGCTGCTCAACTGGCTGAGCGGTTTGTGGTCGTTAGGCGGAGGAACTCCTGTGAGCTTTCTAAAGCTAGAAAAAGGGACGCTCACAATCGACCTCCAGCCCAACAGGTTTCAGAGAAGAGACTCAAAATATTGGTACCTGGAAATCCAACCCTACAAGCCCGAGATATTGGGCTGTCACCCAGAATACTACAGCTGACTTCTTGCCCCACAGAGAGCCTTTAGAGGGAGGAGGAGTGGGTGGTGGAGGCTGCTACCACCACCTCAGCATTAGTGATGTTCTGTCATTTATATTAGAAGTTACAGATGATGTTATGGAAGGTGGTAGTAATTGATTTATTTAGAGATTTTCTAAAGAGTGCACACTTTGTCTGACTGGTTTACATACTTGTTTTCTCTTTGAGGTTCTGCAAATACAGACCAGCTGGATGTGTTGGCCTTAGTTACTTTTGCAACTTTAACATAAAACTTTATTATTTCCATTTATTATTCAAAGGAAGTTTTGCTTTATTCATTTATATGTTCCTTCTGTTAATTTTTCATGCTTTTTGTTACTATATTATGTTGTAACTTCCTTATATGGCAAGTTTAAAATCACTGCACCCCTAATTAAGCAGTCTTTCCTTTTTACTGCAGTTTTGTTTGTGTTGTGCTTATTTGACCTTAGTTGAATTTGACCTAAATCATTAGATTTATGTTTGCATTTGAGTTTTAACTGGTGTTAAATTTTTCTTTTGGCATTATTAAATTGAACTTTGCCACATTTTTGATTAACATTTGTCCTCGTTTATGTCAGGTCCCTAACAGATGCATTTACAGATTCAAGGCGTTCAATGCTTATCTTTAAAAAATAGGTAATAAAGTAATGGCTTTAAACAAACCTTTATTGGCTATTTTCCAATATTTTATTAATGGATAATGATTTATTATTGACAAGAGTTGTAGAAAACAAAAACCTCCATTTAAGATTTAACTATTCCTTAAAAGGTTAGGCTTTTATAAAGTTCCCACCCAGGCTCCCTGTGTCCCACATACTTGTTGGTATAATGAAAGTATATACGTGTGGTATATTACAGCACAGCCAGTGAGATGAAGACATGAAGTGAGGTATCAGTACAGCTGTGTCCTGTAACACAGGACAGCTTGGCAAAAAAAAAAAAAGGAGAAAAAAAAAAGGGGGTTTATTTTCTTGTATCACCAAGAAAGGCTGTGTGTCAAAGTCTATGAGCTATAATCACAATTAGAGAAGAAAAAAGACTGACACTGAAAAACATAAATTAAATGTTAATATAACATTTCAAATAGCAAATCAGATTTTTAATAACCATATTTTTTGGTTAAAATAGCAATACTTTTTTTTTTAACTAGCAGAGGTTAGTTTTCTACATATGTACAGACTACCAGCAGGGAGTAAATATTTACAATATGGTAGCAGCATTCTGAAAACCACGACTGATATGTTATCAAAGGAGTTAGTCCCTTTTTTTTTTTTTTTTTTGTGTGGCTTTATTTTTTCCCCCCCTCAGCTAGTCATTTACTTTGCCCAATTGAATTAGGTTGAGTCAAGCTGAGCTCCGTGCAGAACCTGATTGAAAAGAGTTTTTAAAAAAACAGGGAAATGAGATGCGGGATGGGGAATAAGTGAGAAGTGAAAATTACTGAACGAGAATCTAAAAAGAAAGAGACTGCTTACATTTTGACCCCCTGCTCTGAAAAATCCTGTCTTTTTTTTTGTTTGTTTGTTTGTAGCTGGCAGATTAAAGATTTTTGGACAGTGCACCACTGACACGTTACAGCGACTGTGCATTGATTAAAACAAAAGCAAACCACAAACTGTGCACCCTCAGTGAAGACAAGAGTGTCCTTTAGAGCATGTGACGTGGATGTGCAGTAGTGCATCAGGGCCAGCAGGAGGCGAGGGGAGGCTTTCTAGAGCGCGGTGAGGCGACCCGTGAGCGCCGCCTGGAGCTCTGACGGGAGGAAGACCCCAAGCTCGGTGATGATGCCTCCAGTGATGAGCTGGTGAGGCGTCACGTCGAACGCCGGGTTCCACACCTCGACACCTGCAGCGAGGGAACGGTTGGTATGTTACACATTATCTTTAACTACATAAATAAATAAAGACACATCAGATGAATTTGAGCATCTACTTCTAGGCATTAACTCCATCTCTGCACAGAATTATATTATTAGTTTAAATACAAATAGGATCCATTCAGAGGAACATCAATATAAAAAAAAAGATCTAGCAGCTGGGTAACTTTCATTGGGGTTTAGAAAACAAAAGATTTAGAAAAACAAAACATTCTGTTTTTGGCTGAATAAAACAACATTTTTTTCAGATAACCACTTTATATATCTTGATGCCACTACAGAGTGTAGCAAAATGCTTTCTTTTTTATAGTTTTCCACTCTGATCCAAGAGATTTACTTGTGTGGATGGATAATAAATAGCTGGGTGTCCATTACAAATCTCCAAAAACTATATCTATATTCTGCTAATTCCACAAATACCAAGTTTCATAATGGCAGCAGTTCCATTTAATAACAAATACAATTAAAATGGCATATGAAGAAGTTTGTTCACGTGAAAACTGCAAACTTAAAGTTTTTCTGATGTGACATCCACTGTCCTCATAAAATTCATGACTTGTAAACCACTGTGGTGAAGTATTGATTTATATATCAATCTTTTCTTTTGTATATTCTTTTAACTGCTGCCAAGTGTAAATTGTACTCTACAGATCAGTAATCTATCCACAGAAGTAATCTGCTGAGTTGCTGGTAGAAATGGGAGTTCTGCTGCAGACTGTTGCTTTAAAGCTCTTCTATTATTCTACATTTGAAAACAAAAACTATTATCAATAAGGCCCCCAGAGAATGTTTTTGCTGTTTGTGCAGGAAAGTTGCTCCGAGATTCGATAGATAGCCTTTACCAAAAAGGTCTTTATTCAGCCTTCCACCAGATGAGCTCTTTTGGTTTTCCATGTCCTTGTTCTACTGTAGGCCACGCCCCCCACAACCATGACATTAGTTAGCAGTGATTAGGTGCTCCTTAGTAAGGTCTCCAATTTTACATTTCTCAGAAAAACTGCAGCTTTGTCTGTGGGCGGAGTGTTCAGTGTTCTGCATATAGCTTCTCTCCTCAGCTATCTTTCCATCATGCTTTTTAAATATACATATCCTCACTAATAGACCCAGTCAGAGAAAAGCACAGGTTTTGTACACATGTGCAAGCTTTACGTGTCAGCCAAATAGACACTGGCATAGAGAAAACACCTGCTTGCTGTCTCCCTAATGTTCTGCAGAGACAGAGTTAGCAGGCCTGGTTCTCAAATCTTTGGCTTCTTCTTCTGAAGACGACCACAGCTGCTGCCAAGTCAAAAGACTGGAAGAAGATTTAATCAGCACCACGGCCCTGGTGTGATCCTCAAGTCCCATCATGAAGTTATGTAGAGAAATCCTGCTTATCTGCCGCTAATTCTTTCTATAATTATAACAAATTGATTTTTAAAGTGTTTTTCCAGCACTGCATCCTGTCTCCGTTACATTATCTGCTCTACATTACTTCTAGCTGTGAGGATGTATGTGCAGAAAATGCTGCAAATAGAAACAGCAAAGATCAGAAGCCAACAGTCAGTTTATGGAGGCCCAAACAGCACAGGGATTATATGTTTGGCACTTATTCTTTACTTGGCAGCCCTTCTGTAATCATTTAAGATTCAAAAACACATTTGTACATTTTGACTTTCTTTTCTAACAGTAGGTATATAAGTTGTTTTTATTTGATCAGTTTATAGCATACATTTTTGTTCTAACTAGTGAGAAAAAACAGAAGTGATATTGTTTTTTTATTGTATATAAAATACATCAACTTGGCCCAGGGCTCATTAGAACCAATATCTTATGCCACTGCACTTATGATAAAGTGTCAAATGCCTATTTTGAAATGACTTTCAAACAGCAATAGTAACATGACTGCAGAAGAAAAGAGCAAAGAAATCTATAAGCACCAATCTTTCAGCCCTGGGGCTTTGGACTTACTGAAACTGGTTTAATTACTGAGCTGTCACTGCAGCACAATTGGTAAAAAATCCAGTTATTCAAGTTATTTGGCTCAAATAGAACAAAACCACAGGCTAGACTTTGACTCTAAGGACTTTTGTCCTCTAAGGACATTTGTGTGCAACCTGATCAATGCATTTGCTTTGTCTGCAAGTCAGCACAAAAATGCAACAATCTCACTTTACAAGTGGAGAAATTTGGAAGCCCTGAAGTCTGAGATAAAAAGGCTAAAAAGACGGACTTTTATTCACCTCTGTCTGTGATCTAATGAACAATTAAACTTCACCATCAGGGCTGCAGATATTATTATAGTAATTGATAAATCTATGAATTGTTTTGTTTTTGGTTGATCTAAAAAAAGAGAAACTTTTAGTAACTTCACAAAAAACAAGCAAGATAAAAGAAAAAAAGAAAAGAAAACCAACATGTGCTGCTCATTTCAGCTAAGATAAGAAAGGCAACAACATGGAGACAGAGCAGGGGTATCATTTCAGTCCTACGTTTTACAAATGAGAAAAACAACATTTGGATGAAACTGTTATTAATTCTTGTAAAACATGGAAACATTATATACAAAAGAAATCTAATCTGATTTACATAATGTCTCACAATCTTTACTCACTATTAGCACTAGTTTTATCCTCCCCTTTAGGGCAATAAGATTAACAGTCATGTTATCAAATCTACATGCCAGTAAGACACTCAGGCTGCATACAAATATTACTGCATCCCGCTGCCATATTATTTATTATTTTTGCCTTTTACTGTTTGCTAATTTATTAGCATGTATATTTCTACAGTAACATCGCATGTTTGAAGGGACAAAACAAAGAGGTAAAAGTTAGCACCTCCCAATAAAGCTGCCAAAATAATAAAGAAAAGTTCAAGATTCAGTGTGAAAAAGCGCAAAACAATTAGTTCATTTTAATAAACAGCGCTGGGGCTACAGTCTGAGCATTGGTGTTGACTGAGGTAGATGCTAAAGCTGCAGAGGCATTTAGAGTAGAAGGATTTGTGCAGGAAAGTCTTTATTTATCAGTAAGTAACTCTTCAACCTTCATAAAACATTTTCATAACTTTTGTGATTATACGTCGACTTACAACTAGTTGAATGACACCTCTGTTATGGTCCAGGAGGGTCTGTATAGCTTTAACAGACACTAAGCAGTTTTGAGGAGGGTGGCAGTAACCCTTCCACACAAAACAAGCACAAATGTGCAAACTGCTTTATGGCATACGTTGCTTCCCCCTTCCCCATAAAGACGGAAGTTGTTGCAACTAAATTTCCATAAGAGACTGTATATTCATGCAACTTGTGCAGGGTTGATATTAAGGGAATGCAGCACCTTCCTGCTCACTGTGAAAATCTATAAAATAAAATATCTATCAATTTCAAGGTTCAAAACTCATCAGAACATCAAGTCAGGTTAGGTGGGGGGAAGGGGGTGAGCCGGCGGTGCAGGAACAGAACCAAAGTTAAACATTTATTATAAACATCGCCATCGTTTTCCCAGTTTCATTACCCTCATCACCAAATAAATAAAGCACATGTTAGAGAGGCTTGATGTGGATTTGATTTTTTTTCAACTAAAGATCTAAAAATGTTACTTGTAATAGTATTCGAGTATCATAGATTAAAGTACTAGTTATGAACTATGCTGCTTTTATCCTGTTTGGACAAAGTTCCTTAACCCTGTGTTTAGTACTTATTTTTTGTATTTTAGATAAAAATAAAAACCAAAGGTCCAGGTCAATCTGAATTTAGAGTTCCCTAGAGACTGTTGCTCTTGTGCAACTAAAATATATATAAACTGCTGTGCTCCGTTTGGCAATGCTGGGAACTCTCATGTGATTGGCTCAGAAACCAGGAAGTAAACACAGGCTACACACTGTTATAGTTTGAAAGGAGAAGGCTTGACATTCTTAGTCATCTGAGATGGAAGTAAATCTATCCCAGATGACTAATGAGATTGATTTCACAGTAATCTCTCTCTTATTTTTCCTGATCCACTCAAGCTTCCTACCTGGTGCAGCGATGGGGACTCCGTTTATACTGGTGAGCTCCTCAGGGGGTCGGACTTCAATGATGATGTCTCTCCCGCTCTCAAGACTCAAGTCACATGATGTGCTGGGTGCAGCTACGTAGAAGGGGATCCCATGGTGCTTTGCAGCGATGGCCAGCTGGTAGGTACCCACCTTGTTGGCTGTGTCACCGTTTGCGACGACCCGGTCAGCACCAACAACCACAGCTGAGGGAGGAACGAAGGGGTTAAGTAATGAAGCAGAAAAATGTGACGCCGTCTTCAAGAGTCTTACCTGAGATGTTCTTTTCCCTCATGGTGAGTGCCGCCATGCTGTCAGTGATGAGCGTAGCAGGGATGCCCTCTGCGACCGCCTCGTACGCAGTCAGCCGGGACCCCTGGTTGTAGGGCCTCGTCTCTGTGCAGTAAACGCGCTTCAGCCGGCCCAGAGCATGGAGACTTCTTACAACGCCTGCGCACAGAGACGGTGTTACGACCAAAGGGACAGAAACACACAGAGGCTTCTTTAAATCGCACCCAAAGCTCCAGTCTCACCCAGCGCCGTGCCGTAACCGGCCGTGGCCAGAGAACCGGTGTTGCAGTGCGTGAGGATGGTCACAGAGTCCCTCGGGACGCCGGACAGGATGTGCTGGGCTCCATAGTTACCGATCTTCCGGTTGTCGTTAACGTCACGCTCCAGCATGTCTTCAATCCATGAAATTACACTGCAGGAGAGGAAGAGAAGGAGGGGTGAATTCAGAGGTGGGAAGAGAGAAGAGGCTGTCTGCCACTGCAGAGTTAATGTGTCCATTTAGTGGACACATTAACGCACTAAGTGCAGGTTCATTACTGCTACTCGTTTCTCTACTCTCCTGCTTTAGCTGTACCACCCAGTCATCACATTATACAAAGAATCTCTTTGGCCACCCTTTTCATGAACTGTAACTAACAAAGTGTGGACTTTTCACCCTGATTCACCTGTTATTTCAGGTCTCTGACTAACCAGTCCTCCTTAAAGTCAGTCCTCTAGGGCCGCTCCAATACAGCTGATTTCCATTGATAGCTGATTATTAGGCTTTTGCTGAACTACAATCATCCGAATCAGCTGTGCTAAAGCAGGGAAACCTGTAAAACCTGCAAGGTTTAGGATCTACTCTGGGCATGCCTGGACTAAACGGATCTCATCCTAGGTTTTTATTTCATACTGAGCCCCGTGAGCTTTGTGGCTGAATTTTGGACATTATTCATTTAATCCTGAAGATGTTCTTATGCAGGTTACAAGTCAAATTATCAATAGGTCGGCAATACAGAGAGCAAACATGCTACCTTTAGCCTAATGGTTACGAGAAACATCTCTAAACTGGGCTAAATAAAACAAAAAAATAGGTGCAAGATGCTTAGTCAATACTGTAACTGTAATACATCGATTAAGATAAATCTCTACAAAGATATAAACCTGCCTGTCAGAACATCGTAGTGGTCTCCTTAACAATTAACCTCATGTCGGACCAATATTTTCAAAGTTTCCTGCAGAACCTGCTAAAGGCAGTTCTAAAGGCAGTACTTGGACCCAGAACAATCATTTGATCTTCTTGAGCAGTTTTTTTTTTTTTATAGCTGTCCTCAGTTGTTTGTGTTGTCAGTCAGAAACCTTTTGGTTTAGCTACTTATTCCCTGGTTGTTTTTTTCTGTTGTCTCTCACCTGCTCACTTAAGACGAGTGGTTGATGCAAAAGGTTATTTCTGAACATTTGGGACAGGAGATGCACAACCAAAAAAAGAATAGAGGGACATATTCTAATCAAAATGTTACAACAAAGCATCAGTTAAAACATTCGGAGCCAATTTATCAGCAAATACAAGCAGCAAAGGTTTTTTCCAAACTGTGGAAGGCATCTAATTTGTTGCTGGCTTTAGAATAACCTGGAGCTGATATTTTCTGTGGAAATCAAAGATATAATTTTTCAGAAGTGCAAAGCACACCTTAACCAATTTGCACTTTAAAAATGTTACTGCCAACCCTTTTTTTTAAACCCATATCATAGCTGCTAATGAACTGAGCTGCCATTTTAGGAGAACCCATAAAGGTGAGAGAAGGAGGTGAACAATTTAACGCTTAACTTTGGTGCAGTTCAGATGTTTTCTTTTTTGTTTCTTTGCAGATTCTCTGTATCTGTTAGTCTAGGCAGCAAAATCAGTTCCTGGGGGTCTCTGCTAAAGTGTGACCTTCTTCAGGGAATTCACGCAAAACAAAAGCATAAACACTGCATAACATATTTTCTTAAATGGTGTCAAAGGAATCCCAGTTGAACTGATAATGTTTCCAGGCATCCCAGCTTAATCATGCGTCTTCAGCTCACCTCTCCCTGAGCTGCTCAGAGTTTTTCTCCATGCTCTCGTTCTCTGCAAACTCCATCAGCTCGCGGGCGGCTCTGCCCATGTTGACAGCAGTGGGCCTGGCTGAAGTGAGGTGACACAGGGATTCCCTGATGAATGTTACAGGGTCGTCGCCCCCAGCACCCGCCCGCAGCTCCACGGCCAAGCTGAGGCAGCCCACGATGGCAATGGCAGGAGCTCCTCGCACCTAGAAACGGAGGGAGAGGGTGGTTGTCACAACAAACCTGAGAGAGGCATCCAGTGGTGAAAAGCACTGTGATTACAACAAGTGACTAAAGAGCTATGGATCTGTCAATACAGTTCTAAAACTACAGCTGATGAGCTTGGAGCAGCAGAACGCAAACAGATCAACTGATTAAAAAGCTCATTAGTTATTAAAAAAAAAGAAAATTTAAAAAACTGTCCACTGGATTTTGTTTCCAAGTTTGAAGACGTTTCGCTTCCCATCCAAAGGGGCCCTTTGTCCATCTTCATTTGCATATTTTCAAAACAAAAAACAAGTCTTTGTTTGGCTACTGTATAAAACCTCCAACTCAAAACTATTCCTGACATTTTGAATTGAAAAAGCTTCTTGGATGGGAAGTGAAACATCTTCAAACTTGGAAACAAAGTCCAATCGATTGTTTTTAATTGTCTTTTTTTGGAACGACTATGACATGGATGACCGAGAATGTTCACCAGCACAAACTCATATTAGCTTGCAAAACTCCTAGTTTTACTCCATTTGAAAAAAACAGACAGAACAGATTTATCAACAACAGTTTGGTGTATTTTAAGAATTTATATATTTTGTTTAAATAAAATTAAAATCCAAAGTTATGTTTTGTTGAAAAATTGTTATATGACCAACAAATATTGATTCATAAAAGTGAAGTTGCTGTACTACTGAAAAGCATGTCCATCTATTGTAGAATATGTTCTTCCAATGCTCCAGATGAATGACTGGATCAATGCAGCGTGCAGCAAATCAGCCTGAGGTTCAGGGTTCACAAGTGTTCACCACTACCCTCCGTAGAGTTAAAGAAGTGTAATTGCTGATTAACTTTGAAAGTGAGTCGGGTTGAACTCTGTTCACTTTAAATAAGAAGCAACAGCAGGATTCTAAAGGGGTCTTGTATTGTTTATGAAGGGAATGTTTAATAAAAACAACAAGCAAGATTTCTTTTCTTCTCCTATAGCAGGAGTCTCAAACTGGTTCCACAAAGGGCCGTATGGCTGCAGGTTTTCTGTCCAACCAAGCAATATCACCAGACTCCATTCACCACATGAAGTCATCATGTTCTGATTGGAGTCAGTTGATGAGACGACTGCAGTCTGGTGTGCTATTGCTTGGTTGGACAGAAAACCCGCAGCCACAGCATCCTTTCTGGAACCAGTATGAGACCCCTGCCCAACAGGGAGGCTACATTTACTGTTGAATTAAAACAAAGTGGACTAACAGCAGAAAATGACATGAAATGTCCCCTCACTACTGATCAACGCTTTATTTTAGTCCAGCTCACAATATAACCGCTGTAGTGTGGTGTATCTGTGTGTGGAGTCTCAGTAAACCCCAATACAACTTTTTCATTTACCATACAATTGCAGCTTTGAGTTCCTAAATGCCTGTATTGACCCGATACGGCATCACCACCAATCGTTCCCTACTATTTTGCAGTGTGGAATGTTAGACACTTAAGCAATATTACTTAAACCGAGAACAATGGTCAAACAACAGTAGATACGATAACTGGCATGTTTTTCATTAACCAATATATTAGATACATTTCAAACAGAATTGAAGAGAAGTGGAGTGTTTTCATCCAATCGATAATATCTGAGATTTTAGACGTAGCGCAAAATATTCCAATTAGGGCTGAAACAATTAATCGGATTAATGGATTATTGAAATAATTGTCAACTAATTTAGTAATCGATTAATCATTAACTGGAATGTAAAGACTGAAAATATACATATATTTTGCAATTAAGATAAAAAAAAGTTTAATTTCGCAATAAATCTTTAAGGAACCTTTGGCTACCTGATCATAAATTAACTAATCGAGAAAAAAAAAATGACAGATTATTTGATTTGCAAAATAATCATTAGCTGCAGCCCTAGTTCCAATACTGAATTTTTAAATACACACATTTTTTGGTACATCATGTAAAAAAAATTAATGTTATTAATATGTTACTTATATTCACTTCAATTCTTAAACAATAACTCAAATCCATATAAGACTGATTTAGTGAAGTAGATACTTTTAGAGTACATCATTTTGTATATTTATAAAGACGCGTCTCTGTAACACATTCCAGCCACTGACAAAGTCATAGCTTGCATTAAGAAAAAAATAACAAAAGAAACCCTTGGTAAAATAGCTCGTAATGTGTAAAATTTTAACAAACTAAATTTCACTAAAAACTTTTTATGCTTACTTAAGGTGCTTCTGATCACCTATTTCCGCCGCCGCCGGGTTCATGGATGCATTATAATCACACTTCTTGATTACAAGAGATTTATTAAAACCTTGGCCCATGACTTAACCGTGGATTGCCAACTCTGCTTCCTGTTTACGACAGCCAATTGTAACGTCAATGTATGACGACATCACATACCCTCGTCAATCTGGTCCCTTGGGTGGAGATATGTCTAATTCTCATTTTGTTTTTTTAAAGACTTGGAAACGAAGTCCAGTGGATTTTTTTTTTTTGGAATTTCTTTTAAGTCTGAAGACGTTTCGCTTTCCATCCAGGAAGCGTTTTCAATTCGAAATGTCAGAATTAGCTTTGAGTTTGAAGCTTTACAGTGGACCAAAACAAAGCATTGGTTTGGCTTAGAAAAGGTGGTTGAACCAGAAAGGGACTGCCCCTTAGGAATGGGGAGTTATTGTTGGCCTGCAATACTCAATACTAGGGATGGGAATAGAAAACCGGTTCCTGTTCAGAACCGGTTCTGTGTGTTCCAATTCCATTGCACCGTTTGGCAGTTCGCTTAAAGGTTCTCTTTACGGTTCCAGGCAGCACGACTTAATTACGCAATTATGATGTGACCAGGCGTAAGTCTAGAAAAAAGCAAAAAAATGGCGTCCCATCGGGTAAAGCGATAGAAAGTTTGGCTTCATTTTAAGGAAGAGAAAGATGGCAACAAGGTGCTTTGCAATCCTTGCAAAGTGGCAATTACATCCACGGGGGTAAATGCATCCAACATGCAGAAACACCTGCGCACACAACATGGCATACATTTTAATGAATGCCGTGTTTTTGATGCTTCCTGACAGAAACTAAAGTTACGACCAGCATGGAAGGCAACTCTGGTGGTTAGTAGCTAGTTTTATATCACTGGCTCTGCTTAATGTGGTTCCTAGTAAATCATATGCCATTTTAGAAATAAACCAATTTCCTACCTCTCTTTGGGGTTATTAAACATGCTACGAAGTTGCTCCGCAGTTCAGGGAGCGAGAGAAAGGGGACGCTTGTTTATTTAAATCAGGGGGAGATGAGTTTATTTCCTGAAATTGTACAGCAACGCTATTTCATTAAACGGATGCCTTCTCCATTAGATTTAGATGAATGTGATGAGACATGTAGCCTGGCTGGCTCAGAGGCCGGCAGCTCCCGTTCACTGCCTTCCGTTTTCGCCGAGGCAGGCAGAAATAGGCGAAGATAGACGAATGTCGCCGTGCAATTACCAAGTTCATTGTTTCACAGAATCGATAAGCGAATCAAAATCGCTTCACAGAATCGAATGGATAATCGAATTGTTTCACAGAATGGATAAGGAAATCCGAATCGGGAAAATCGTTTCAATTCCCAACCCTACCCAATACTGGTCTATACCTCTGAAAGGGGGAGTTGATAGGGGGAATTGTTGGCCTGGCTGATTAGGCGAGATGTTCTGGTCCCCTGTTTTATAAACATGACATTACTTTTTCCTTCCACTTAACTTTCCACTAGTATTATGCTGGTATAAATCTCAAAAAGTCAGATTCTTTAAGAGGGACATTTTGATGCATTTCCTCCCTATGGAGGGTTTCAAATAAGGTTAATGATTACATTTATTTTAATTATACATATTGCTACTTATGTATAATGTAAACTTTCGAGGTTATTGTTATACCTTTAGTCCCAAATCGTCAAAAAGATTTTTTTTTACTGAATAAGTGAAAAAAATCTCTTTGATATTATCATTAGTGCACCTGGATGAGATCATCTCCTGCTCCTGCCAGGATCAGCCCAGAGTGGGAGCAGCCGAAAGACAAAAAAAAGGAATAACTGCTGCGCTTTAATTCATAACACCGTACTGGATCTTCAATATTTTCCGTTCACTGGAGCTCTATATCATTTCCTGAATACGGGAATGCAGAACTAGAGCAGCCGGAGGTGTCCGTGAATGCAGCACAGGAGCAAAAGGCGAACAAAAAGACCCCTGGCAAAGGTCATTAATAATTCATCAGCGATCTCTCCAAAGAAAGAAGATGGGTGGGATAAATCCCGCTTTAAAGCACATGATTTATGTGAACCACAACTATGAATGGAGGCTGGGTTCGCTGCAGGATGCATGCTTCACAACAACAATCAAATATGGAAGAGAGAGGCCGTGAGCGGAGACACATGTGAGGCAGAGCACAATAGAAGCCAAGCTACCTTCATGGACTTGATGGCCTGGTAGGCATTCTGCACCGAGCGGATGTCCTCATAGACGGTCTGGTGTGGCAGCAGCAGCTGGTTGAGGATCTGCAGGGACCCGGACCGGTAGCGGATCGCTTCCAGCGTCATGACCGAAGAAATGGAGGAGGAGGAGGGGTACAAAGAGAGCAGGAGAACGTCTCCCCTTCCAGCGATTATACAGAAATACGGGGAGGGAAAATAAGGGGGTGACGGTTGGACTGGAAGCCTCCACACACCGACAGGAACTGAAGGCGAACCACGTGTTCAACAGAGCAGGAAGACCTGAGCTCCGGATCCACGCCCACCAGAGGACCGCTGCTTGTCAGATTTTATCCAGCTCCTCTCCTCCTCCTCCCTCTTTGTCTGGGGAAATTTCACACTTGCTTATATTATTTGCATAACACCAAAATAAAAGCCTTTCTCCACACAGCAGCGGGTCCATGCTGATAAAAAGATCTATTTTGGGATCAGATGTTATTGTTTAGGCCCAACCTGGAATACTGCAATATGAATTCAAATAATGAATATTACACAAAAGAAAAGCAGAAGGTATTTTTTATTTTTTTCCCAAGATAATTTGATCAACTCTTGGGTTTTGGCCAGCTGGACATAAAAACCTTAACACTGCAGAATATCTGAAAAATAAACATTTTATTCCAATGTTTGAAAAATATTAACAGAAATACTCTAGTATTACTAGTGGCATGGCTTGGTTAATAAAAAAAAAAAGACAAAAAAAAAAAAAATCTCAAGTGATGCAGGATTAGAAGGTGGAAGAAATATCTTGATTTCCCTGATTACAAAAGACTGAAAAATGTTACCCATTCTCTCCTTCACAGTGGCGGAGCTAGACGGGGGGGCCAGGGGTGGCCATCGCCACCCTTAGCCAATCACTGGCCACCCCTACCATTTTTTCCCTGTAATATAGATGGTGGCAGCAGTAATACTCTTAAGGGGAATGTTCAAATGTATTAAAATTTAAACTTTTCATATATATTAACAACTGCTTGACAACAAAAACAGCGTGGTTAATTATGCACATCAATATACAAACATTAAAGATGATACAGAATTGATGCTCTTTTCAGAATTTTTGAATTATTTGGGGTAAAGATAAGATTATGTGCCTCAGCAAGTCCTCTAGGAGTCTTCAGTGAAATCATAATTACTTTAATAACTTAAAAATTCATTAAATGTGGATATTAGTAGATTTAAATATATTTGCAGAATGATTATTGATAAAAGTAGGTAATGATAATGTAAAATATGTTTGCCCCAGAATTCAAACCTGAAAGAATTTTGTCCACTATACTTTTTATTTATACATTATAGATGTTTAAATATATCCGTCTATTTGTTAGCAAAGGCTGCAGAAAATGTAGTTTGTCTTTATTTAGAAAATATGAATGTTGTGCTCATTCCTGTTGGAACAGTTTAGATTGACCCTGAGGTTCTGGTTCTTTTCGGCCACCTCTTAATGTACATTGGTTATTGACCTGCCACCCCTATTAGGATTTTCTGGCTAGGCCTCTGCTCCTTCAAAGTATTTCAAGCTTAGTCATTGGGTCGGCAATGAACGGCAAAGTCTTGCCACAGATGATCAATTAGATTCTGGCCTCGACTTTGACTAGGCCTTCCCAATAAAATAATAGTCTCAGATCAAAGCCATTTCTATGGGTCTAGCTCAAATCCAGGATCATCATTCTGGAAATTGAACATCCAACCTCAAGTTGTTTAATCTGTAATGAGTTTTGATCCAGGATTCCACCATATTATAAATATGTATACACACACACAGCTGTGTTTTCTATGGGGACATTTCATTTACGGTACTTGCATTGATTTTACATGGCCTAACCCAGATCCTTACCCTATTACCAGCATATACCTAACCCTAACCCCAACTCACAGGACAGAACTTTACCACATGGGGACCAGGTGAATGTCCCCATATGTATATTTAAAAAAACTTTAAAGAAGCACGCCAGAATCATCTTTTTTCATATGTTTAATTTTAATTTGTTTTGAAACCAACCTCATACATGACATAATAAAGCCTGACCAATCAGGAACATTCCCACCTTTGAGCAGCACTGAAAACCAAAGACTGAAATATATAAACGAAGCATCTCGTGCTGTACTCAATAAAAAATATATTTATACAGATTGCCCATTCATGACTTGGAATAAAGGAAAAAAAAACAAAAAAACAATGCAAACTATGAGTTTCAACTACAGGATACATTTGATCCAGATAAAAAAAAAAAAAAACCAAAACAAAACCTTTTTGGACGCAAAGGTTGAAAAAAAAGGGCGAAGGACTAACCAATTAGCAGAGCAGGGATGAGTGTGTGTGGAGTGTAGTGTAAACACAGGAGAGGAGTGTGAGTCACCAGCAGGAGCAATTTCAGAAATGGTTTTTCTTCTGCCGTCCCACCAGCATGAAGGTCGATGAGTTTGTTGCCATGATAAAGGGACAGCTACAGGCCAGGAGGTTACATGAGGAGTGTTTGTTTAGGATAGCGCAGGGTTAACTCTACAGATAAAGAAAAAAAAAATGCTTTGCTACATGAGGCTACAACAAAGCTATGAAAAGAGCTATAATGTGGCTTTCAGCTTTCCCAAAAAAAGTAGCTTTATCCAAGAAAAAAAAAACATTCCCAAAGTGCCTTTTTAGTTTGACGGACTTTAGCTAGAACAATAAAATACTGTTGCATCTTTTGCATCTTTTTTCTGCTATGACATCCAGGATACTACAGAGTATCTTGATAAATTTTTAAATAAGACTTTCCTGTGTGCTGTTTTCAGGCTGCAACATTTGGACACATCGACAGTCATTCAATGATGACTCAGACCTACTGAAAGCTAAAAGGGTGATATATAAAACTCCTCCATCCAACAAGAATTCAGGCAGATGGGAAATTACACTTTTCTTACAATTTGCTCATTTCTGTGTGTTTATAACATAAAAACCTTAATATATAGGTCCTGCAGAATGAGAATTTAGCATTCGCTAACAATAGCATACATTAGTGACTAATAGCCTTTAGCTTTGGACTTCCAAACACCGGGAGATCCATGCAGCGCACGGAGTACAAGGAGCAACTTCATCAATGATCAAACAGTTAGTCTTTGAATAACACTAGAAATGTACAGCCATAGTCAGAGGATTGCATTCGCTCATCACCAGCATGAACAGCTTTTGATTATGTATCTGAGGAGTTCTGTCAACATGAGGAATTATTTAAATGGATTCAAAATAAGAATTGGGAAAATATGTTTTAAATAACTGTAGATTTGATCTTTCTGGTTAAACCCCACAAACATCTGGTAAATTCTTCCTCAGCAAGTTAGACCTCAACTGCATGGCTTTCTGGAGCCATCAACAGCTGTCTGGTGTTAATCTGGCTTTAGAAAGCTCACTCTTAGAAATAGCAGAGCTCATTTAAATAAGTTGGTTGTAAGCATGGACTCTACTTCCTAGGAAAAAAACCCATCAATATCTGAATAAGGTCAAGGCTTAGGTAGGCTACACAGACCTTTTAAAACGGTCAAGCATGGTGGTGGTAGTATCATGTTTAGTTGTACTTTTGTACTGCAGAAAGCTAGTAGAGTAATAAGGGGTGGGCATCTCCAAGTTGTTTACCCTCACCTCACATCAGAAGCTAGAGGTTTAAACTTCGGATGCATGAAATAGAAAATCATAAATGGCTTTGTGATTTCCAAACAGAACATAACGGGCAAGTCAGACATCTAAATGCCCTTTAAATTTCTTTAAAAAAAATCTACCTAGCAAGAATTGTTTGCAACAAACAGCATGATGATTTTCTTCAGGTTCCTGAGCAACATTTCTTTAAAATGTACAGAACATTGGTGTTAATCCTTCCTTGTTTAGAGAAAATCCAAATATTCCAGCTTGTTCTCATTATACTCAAATACAGTTTCATACTTAAAAATAAAAGAATACCTGCAAATATTACAATAGAAGCCGACTAAAACCTATAAACCTATAATAGCAGCCCTTGGTGAGCTTCATATGTTTCTGAAATAGATGAAAACCCTTAAAGAAGACCTTTAAAAAAAGCTAATCCCCAGAGACTGCATTAAAATAAGTCAAAGTCACAGCCATTAAATCTCGCCTAATGCAGAGCTTTGCAGATTAATCGGCATTTAAACCGCACCGCTACATAAATGCATTAGAGACGAACATTAACGCTGTCACATTTGGCCCAAAAGCCTCTAAAGTTATTTATAAGACAACCTCAAATTAATGGAAATCAATAGCTGCCTAAAGGACAGGAAATACATAATTTAAGTGGTCAGTAGGTGAAGTAGGAGAAGGAAAAGCTTCACAACAGTCTCCAAACTCCAGCTTTCACTAAGATTATTTTCTGAGGATGCATGGCAATATACTCTGAACACATGATTATCTCAATGGCCATATGACTGAATAAAAAAAAAAAAAAAAAGCCTATATGTGAGCAAATGGATACTTTATTCTTATGTGAAGCAGGCTAGGTGCTGCTGCTGATAGGCAACATATCATCAAACATAGAGCAGAAACATCTGCAAGGGGTTTCCTAATAATTCCTAATAATAATAATTCCTGACTGTGGAAGCTGGTGCGATCTGCTGCGTCTCCGCATGTCTCTGGTTTTAAAATATGGTTCAGGGAAAAAAACGGCTTGGACAGGGGGGGTGGATGAGCAATTACCTCTCCATACCAGCACAAATTGGAGAGCTGTCCTGTGGACAGAGGAGTCTATGATCTCAGCTGGACAGATATCAGCAGCAGCGCAGTGACACAGCAGCTGCTCATTATTTTCTGATCAGCTGCTGAATTAATTCATTACGGACTGGCAGCATAATTACACTCAAACTGAAAAAGGAGACGTCTAAATACAGATCAAGTCATTTGCTTTGAGTCTCATTTCCTTCTGCACCTTATGTTACCAGGACTGTTCTTCTGTCAGACAACTTATCTCATGACAAAGTACATTGAATACCAACTTCCTGCCTTCAACAAATTTCCAACATCATTTTGGAAGACTAATGCCAGCTTCATTTTTAAAAAATCAATCTGACGGGAGTTTGAAATTAGTATCCTGTTGGTTAAAAATTGGAGACATCCACCGTACACCAAAATCCGTAGATTAAAAGAAATTCATTTAAGATGTTGGGGAAACCTAAGAAGCAGTAAGTATGGCTAACTGGAAACGACAAACACCAGCATCCCTCTCCACACTGCTCCAAAAGTCACGCCTTCAAACTGTACTGAGAGTTACAGCAAATAGAGCAATAGTTAAGCCA